CTTGTAGGCTACTTATACTAAAACTGCTTACATATGGGAAAATTCACCCAAAAAAAGGAAATTGTGTCATTTAGTCACCCTCACGTTGCAAACCTATGAGATTCTTTCTTCTGTTGAGCACAAAATAAGATATTTTGCAGAATGTTGGTAAGCAAACAGTTAAATGCGTAATTTTCTTTCAGGTATACCTTTTTTTATTATATAGATGTAATATTTTCTTCATTCTATTTATTCTTATTTATTTATTTTCATTTAACTTTTTGATACACAACACCCTGTTGGGTCAACCTACTGGCTGCACTTTGTTCTGCACTATGTTCCACCACTTTAAGACAAATGGATTTGTTGTGTTTTCATATTCAAGAGATTATAAGCTAGATGCAACTTTTTTGGGGTTTGCATCGAATGTTCTTCGACTTTTATGCATGATTAATTTGTTTATGAATAAAGATTGATCTGTTGATAGCAGTTATTTTGAGTTAGATGCCAAAAGATCTCCTCCTATTCAAATTTGACACTGAAGTGGTGCATACAACATATTTGCCCACCGGCAACTATAGTTGCCGCACATTCAAATACGATTTTCAAGAAAAAAAACTAAAAGCTGGGGAAAATAAATGCAGAACATGTTCACATAGGACACTATTAACCTGACTATATGCATGAAAACATTTAGAAAAATTTGGGCACAAATGGGTTAAAACCACAAATACATAAATGAGATTTGCAAAAATAAAAACATTCACAAATATATTTTTATGCCACAAACACAACTTTGTCTGGCATTCATTTGTGAATCACGTCCTGTGCATTTGTAGATCGCTGCACGCATTTATGGATTTTGAAACATTTCTAGCGTCAAGAAGACGCTACCCACTGTCTACTCAAGCCAATCAGATAACAGCCACATTTCACGTGTAGCCTACACATGATAATTATTTAAATAATCATATATTTTAAAAAGAATATCAGTAATTTCATGAATATCAAGGACTTTTGTCAGGGTTAATCCATTTGACCTAATCAATATGTGCCTATTCATAAAATGTGATATTTTACATATTTACATAAAGTATAGTATGCAAATATGTTTATGTAAATTTATAAAACTACGTGTACCTTCACTGCAGTACTCCTTGTAGGCTACTTATACTAAAACTGCTTACATATGGGAAAATTCACCCAAAAAAAGGAAATTGTGTCATTTAGTCACCCTCACGTTGCAAACCTATGAGATTCTTTCTTCTGTTGAGCACAAAATAAGATATTTTGCAGAATGTTGGTAAGCAAACAGTTAAATGCGTAATTTTCTTTCAGGTATACCTTTTTTTATTATATAGATGTAATATTTTCTTCATTCTATTTATTCTTATTTATTTATTTTCATTTAACTTTTTGATACACAACACCCTGTTGGGTCAACCTACTGGCTGCACTTTGTTCTGCACTATGTTCCACCACTTTAAGACAAATGGATTTGTTGTGTTTTCATATTCAAGAGATTATAAGCTAGATGCAACTTTTTTGGGGTTTGCATCGAATGTTCTTCGACTTTTATGCATGATTAATTTGTTTATGAATAAAGATTGATCTGTTGATAGCAGTTATTTTGAGTTAGATGCCAAAAGATCTCCTCCTATTCAAATTTGACACTGAAGTGGTGCATACAACATATTTGCCCACCGGCAACTATAGTTGCCGCACATTCAAATACGATTTTCAAGAAAAAAAACTAAAAGCTGGGGAAAATAAATGCAGAACATGTTCACATAGGACACTATTAACCTGACTATATGCATGAAAACATTTAGAAAAATTTGGGCACAAATGGGTTAAAACCACAAATACATAAATGAGATTTGCAAAAATAAAAACATTCACAAATATATTTTTATGCCACAAACACAACTTTGTCTGGCATTCATTTGTGAATCACGTCCTGTGCATTTGTAGATCGCTGCACGCATTTATGGATTTTGAAACATTTCTAGCGTCAAGAAGACGCTACCCACTGTCTACTCAAGCCAATCAGATAACAGCCACATTTCACTGACCATTCATAGCACATTCTCACTATAACCAATCACATTTTGCTTTACAATCAGGGCGGGAGCAGATTCGGCACCCCTGTAAGGAACTGCATTCTATAGACACTTCGTTCAAATTGAGCTGAAGTGCTGTTTGTGTGGTTAAAAAAAAAAAACTGTTTCCAAAAGGAGTGCAAGGCTTCTTCATAATTCCATCAGGATCAGTGAATGAGAATAAACTCAGGATTATACACCACTTATGACCATTCACAGATCCCGAGCATGATCAGTAACACATGATGCATCCAAAGCAAATAGAAATCATCATTATCAGCGATACTGTCTACACTGGAAGAGGCACGATACCATGAAGGACAGATGATTCGCACATTTGCTTTGAAGTGTCCAGTTGCATTTACAGCTGTTGCAATGCAGCGAGCAGAGTAGACATGGCACAATGGCTTATTTGGCATTTCAAAGTACAATCGCGGTGACAAATATAGGGCATAATAACATGTATAATATCAAATATGGGCCCAAATGACCATCTGGGGGCTTGTGATGATGTAAATAAAAACCGTGCAATGCTATGAAGTAACTTTTACAATCAAAACTAGTGAGACTGATTCATATGAAATACTGTTTGCGTGATCAAGTGTTTTAACCAATAAATATATTGTCTTACATTTACAGTATATGCATTTATATTCAACACACCTGCACCCAGTGTTGGGGAAAGTTACTTTTAAAAGTAATGCATTACAAAATTGCGTTACCTCCTAAAAAAGTAACTAATGACGTTACTTAGTTACTTTTTATGGAAAGTAATGCGTTACGTTACTTTTTTTAATCTGCCTTGGCCTAATTTTTCTCCCTTCAGAAACAACAACAACAACAAAAAAGAAACATAAATGTTATGTTTATCTAAAGTCATTTTTGCTTATTAGTATGGTTGGTCATTGTAGGTCAGGAGCAAAGATACTGGTTAATAAAAAAGAAGATGTCTTGAACTTTGACAAGTCTGTGTAGTAATCTGTAAAATAAATTAACAAAAATTAAGAAATAAATTAAGAAATAAAATTCATTAAATTTTTATGACAACCCATTTAATCTACCAAGCAATTTGTGATTATAAGTATGTGTTAAAACCAGTGCCATACATGTAGGCAACTTTAGGATAATGTGTCTACACTGCAAAAAATGATTTAGATTACTAGATTCAATTACTAGAGTATGTTTTACAAGAAAATACTATTTCAGTCTTTCCACTTCAAAATTGTATGTTTAACATGCCGATCCTTTGTAATTATTTGTGAATTTTACCAGCGATAATTTTTGAACACCAAATTTTCTTTAGAGTACATGGGTTCAAATGTCACCTGCTCCTCATGTGAAATACAGCACTGAAGGTCACACGACAAAAACTGCATTTCAACAGAGCAAATCTTTGTCAAACATATGGCACGAGTAATGAGTGGTGACAGACATGGTGAGCTGAAGGTATTTATCTGTTACTCTGTACTACCATTTTTACAGAATTAACACTGAGCTGTGAACAAACTCACAACCCGGAGGGCTTGACAGAGCTAGATAAATAAAACTTCAAATAAAACAAATGTGAAATCAACGAGCAATAAGTGAATTGCATACACCTCACTGACTGCACAGCACCTGTATGCAGTGAACAGGCAACGTTCAAAATTACCCTTGTTCAAGAACATTCCCCCCAGCCACAAGTAGCCTTCTGATAAAACCTGATAGATGCTGATATTTAGGAGAGTAATTTGTATATTTTTCACATTGGCCCCAAGAGGACCTCTAAAGACACCAATACAAGAGAAAACCTGCTTGTACAGTTTGCATATACAGGTAAGGGATTACATCTGTCAATGACACGTGACAGAGCCAAGAAAAAAACATCCAGCCACACATGCATGCACGCACATGCACTGCTACTAAGAAGCTGTCAGGTGGGCCTGGAGCCTGACCTTTATTGGCAGGTGCATTACACCTTTGCTCCTCAATGAGTTGGAATGTATTTAAATTATTTCAAATAATGCCTACTACCTTTCCTTAGCCAATACAAATGCATACCATGGAACATGCATATTAGTAGTCAGAAACCGTTGTGACTATTGTTACAAAACAATGGCAATGATTCTATAGTAAATCCACCTATATCCTTTCAAAATAAAAGCTTTGTAAAGATTTCAAATGTTCCTGTTGTATCAAAAACCGGATGTATCCATAAATCTGTGATAATCATTTACTTCCCCTTTACCTTACTTCCTCTTCTAATCGCGTGAGACGGTCTTTCAGCGTTTGGATCTGAGTGTCTCTTTGTCGTATGGTCTCAATCAGGTAGCTGTGAGGCTGCTGTGCCTGCTGAAGAAGCTGATTTGCCGCATCCAACTGAAAGTAAAAAAATAAAAAATAATAATAATTTCACATCATTTCTTACCAGTAGTTATTGATTGAATAATATACATATAAATTGTAGGTCAATACTTGATATTTAATGTAATTGTAAAATGTTCATTTTCCATAGTTTTATGTTTTAATGTAATATTTCTCAAATCTAAAAACATACAATCTTTTTTCAAGCTTAAATTTACAAAAAAAATGCATTTGTATTTATATAGCTTTACAGTTTTATTTAGTTTACATAGTTTAGTTTTACAAAGTGTTTATTTACTTTTAAAATATAATGTTCATACACATACATAAATACCATTCAAAAGTCAGTAAGACTTTTATTCAGAAAGAATGCTCTAAATTTATCAAACATGACAGTAATTGCGTGATCAAGTGTTTTAACCAATAAATATATTGTCTTACATTTACAGTATATGCATTTATATTCAACACACCTGCACCCAGTGTTGGGGAAAGTTACTTTTAAAAGTAATGCATTACAAAATTGCGTTACCTCCTAAAAAAGTAACTAATGACGTTACTTAGTTACTTTTTATGGAAAGTAATGCGTTACGTTACTTTTTTTAATCTGCCTTGGCCTAATTTTTCTCCCTTCAGAAACAACAACAACAACAAAAAAGAAACATAAATGTTATGTTTATCTAAAGTCATTTTTGCTTATTAGTATGGTTGGTCATTGTAGGTCAGGAGCAAAGATACTGGTTAATAAAATACATAAAGGATATTTGTGTTATTTAACATGTTTGTTTCATGTCCCGAGTTTGCATTTGACTGTTTTTATTGATCTTGAGGAATACTGAATCTGTTTTTGTGCGAGTGAGATGAGTAAACACATGTTGACATTTAGTCTAGAACTACAGTAACATCATGTTCACACAGCGCACTCAACGTCTCTGCACTTACTCCTGATTTCTCCCAACATGAGGACAGGAGAGCTGTCAGTCAATACATGGGAAAACAAAGTAACTGGCGTTACTTATTTGAAAAAGTAACTTAGATATTTTCTTGTAAATTAAATCTGATTGTAAAGCAAAACGAGATTGGTTATAGTGAGAACGTGCTACGATTGGTCAGCGATATGTGGCTGTTATCTGATTGGCTTGAGTAGACGGTGGGTGGAGTCCACACGTTTCAAAATCCATAAATGTGTGCAGCGATCTACAAATGCACAGGACGCGATTCACAAATGAATGCCAGGCAAAGTTGTGTTTGTGACATAAAAATATATTTGTGAATGTTTTTTTTTTTATTTGCAAATCTCACATCATTTATTTGTGAATTGAATTCATGTTAGTGAAACTCTAAGATTTATTTGTGGATCTCATTCTATTTATTTGTCAACATGTTTAATTTTTGTTAATCTCTTTACATTTATCTGTGGATTTGGGAAGCAACAATTCTCGATATAACATTGAACCGGTCAGTACGACATCCACGGTTCAATATGCACTTGAGGATCGCGTTTGCGCTTAAATAATTTCTGTTTGTTTTCTTTCTCTCTGAATTGGCTCTGTTTGTGTGTCCATGAGTCTACCCGCTTATAACGTGCATTTGAAAAAGCAACACACATCAAATATCTTCCCTTGTAATGAGAAGCATTTCTAAACCTGCTGTCCGACAAAACAGAAGGTTTTTAGTCCACAACATCAGTTGAATGTTAGAAATAACAATAATAGAATGAGGAAGAAAATATGTTACTGTAATAAAGGCTATGTCGATTAGCAATAAATTATAAATATACTTAATTATTATGAAAATACCCAAGATGGCTTGAACACCACAGATAAACTATACATTGTCGCAGTCGTGTGTTTATTGTCTTCATGTTTCATCATTCAGCATGTTTCTATCTTCTTTTCCTTCAGTTACAGCGACAGCTGGATGTCTTTGCCCATATTAGGGATTTCCTGGAAACGTCAGCAGTTCTATTACTACGGTGATGCACATGTGGCGTTTCTGTCCAGTATGAATGAAATATTACATGTGTACATTACATCCATGTTTTTCTTCACTGTACAGAATAGTACAGGAGTTTGTTGTTGGTTTGCTTTAAAAATCGCATTTTAAATTGCAAAAAAACAACAACAAAAAAACACTATGATGTGCCAAGCCATCAGATCCGAACCGAAACAAAAACGGTGGTTAAAAAACCGAGGTATGTATTGAACCGTGGGCTAACTGTATTGTTGCATCCCTATTGTGGATCATAATCTATTTATTTGGAATTATGCAACAATTCTATCTCCATATAAATAGGTTAGAGTACTTCGTATTCAAAAGAGAGGAAAAAAGAGAGAAAGAGAGATGGAGAAGAGAAAAGAGAGAACTGTGCTCTCTTTGTGCTATTCCTTTTAATCAGCTGATACAGCAGTTACCTCTCTGTGGTTCAGGAGTCTCTCCAAATCTGCAGCCATGTTGTTTTTCACCTGAAGTAGTGTAATCTTCTCTTTCCGTAGTGCACTGTGAAAATGTATACAAAACGTGTTTAAAAGAAGATGTCTTGAACTTTGACAAGTCTGAGTAGTAATCTGTAAAATAAATTAACATTGTCGTATGGTCTCAATCAGGTAGCTGTGAGGCTGCTGTGCCTGCTGAAGAAGCTGATTTGCCGCATCCAACTGAAAGTAAAAAAATAAAAAATAATAATAATTTCACATCATTTCTTACCAGTAGTTATTGATTGAATAATATACATATAAATTGTAGGTCAATACTTGATATTTAATGTAATTGTAAAATGTTCATTTTCCATAGTTTTATGTTTTAATGTAATATTTCTCAAATCTAAAAACATACAATCTTTTTTCAAGCTTAAATTTACAAAAAAAATGCATTTGTATTTATATAGCTTTACAGTTTTATTTAGTTTACATAGTTTAGTTTTACAAAGTGTTTATTTACTTTTAAAATATAATGTTCATACACATACATAAATACCATTCAAAAGTCAGTAAGACTTTTATTCAGAAAGAATGCTCTAAATTTATCAAACATGACAGTAAAGACTTACATTCTCACAAAAAAATAACTACTTAAATTGTTTTTTTTAACTTCATCAGTAGATAATAAATAATAATAAAACACATAAATAAAAACAATTGGCACTACCTTTTTCAACTGTGATAATAATAACACATGTTTTTGAGCAGTAAATCAACATATCAGCGTTTGGATCTGAGTGTCTCTTTGTCGTATGGTCTCAATCAGGTAGCTGTGAGGCTGCTGTGCCTGCTGAAGAAGCTGATTTGCCGCATCCAACTGAAAGTAAAAAAATAAAAAATAATAATAATTTCACATCATTTCTTACCAGTAGTTATTGATTGAATAATATACATATAAATTGTAGGTCAATACTTGATATTTAATGTAATTGTAAAATGTTCATTTTCCATAGTTTTATGTTTTAATGTAATATTTCTCAAATCTAAAAACATACAATCTTTTTTCAAGCTTAAATTTACAAAAAAAATGCATTTGTATTTATATAGCTTTACAGTTTTATTTAGTTTACATAGTTTAGTTTTACAAAGTGTTTATTTACTTTTAAAATATAATGTTCATACACATACATAAATACCATTCAAAAGTCAGTAAGACTTTTATTCAGAAAGAATGCTCTAAATTTATCAAACATGACAGTAAAGACTTACATTCTCACAAAAAAATAACTACTTAAATTGTTTTTTTGAAGTTTTTTTTAACTTCATCAGTAGATAATAAATAATAATAAAACACATAAATAAAAACAATTGGCACTACCTTTTTCAACTGTGATAATAATAACACATGTTTTTGAGCAGTAAATCAACATATAAGAATGATTTCTTCTGTCCAGTATGAATGAAATATTACATGTGTACATTACATCCATGTTTTTCTTCACTGTACAGAATAGTACAGGAGTTTGTTGTTGGTTTGCTTTAAAAATCGCATTTTAAATTGCAAAAAAACAACAACAAAAAAACACTATGATGTGCCAAGCCATCAGATCCGAACCGAAACAAAAACGGTGGTTAAAAAACCGAGGTATGTATTGAACCGTGGGCTAACTGTATTGTTGCATCCCTATTGTGGATCATAATCTATTTATTTGGAATTATGCAACAATTCTATCTCCATATAAATAGGTTAGAGTACTTCGTATTCAAAAGAGAGGAAAAAAGAGAGAAAGAGAGATGGAGAAGAGAAAAGAGAGAACTGTGCTCTCTTTGTGCTATTCCTTTTAATCAGCTGATACAGCAGTTACCTCTCTGTGGTTCAGGAGTCTCTCCAAATCTGCAGCCATGTTGTTTTTCACCTGAAGTAGTGTAATCTTCTCTTTCCGTAATGCACTGTGAAAATGTATACAAAAAGTGTTTAAGAGAAGATGTCTTGAACTTTGACAAGTCGATAATAATAACATGTTTTTGAGCAGTAAATCAACATATAAGAATGATTTCTGCATGATCATTTGACACTGAAGACTGGACTAATGGCTGCTGGAAATTCAGCTTCGGATAACAGGAATAAATTACATTTTAAAATATATTTCAATAGAAAACATTTAGATAGTAATAATAGTTCACAATGCTTATTTATTCATTTAAAAAAAAATAGGGGATTGATTTCGTTGTAGTAAATAATTTAGCAAGCAGGATACAGCAAAATATCTTCTTTGTTTTTGTTTTAGAAATATACGACCTGGTTATACTCATCAGAAAGACACATCTAAAGCACAGTGCTTTAAGTGATCAATTATAATCCCCTCTGCTATTCTTCTTATGTCAAGCCATCAGTCAGTGACTGTCAAGGGTGATAAGATATAGAGCATGAAACAGATGACTTGTGGACCAGTTTACAGGTAAGATCTTGCTATCTTTGGGCTGCTGTAGCAGGGTGGGGCTCTTAAAGTCTGCATGCAACGAGAGGCTTCCACTGTGTGGGTGGCTAAGTGAGCAATCTAAAGGAATTTTGTAAAGAAAACGTGGTTTTCATCCTCAGTGAATTACAAAGACGTACAAAGTGCCAATTAGTCATGTCTGACATGGTAAAAGTCTGTTTGCTAACAGCGGAGGCCAGGTTCACGTAACCTCATTAACATTGCTCAACGGCTCTTCCAATTGGCTGAGGATAAGCTGGAGTGTGCATCTGATGGGGCAAAGGATAGGGCAAAGGAAAAGGGCTACAAGAGATAAAACACGCGACTGAGAAACGTGATACATGTAAACATGGCATGAGCACACGGGCCAAATACAGTACATCGACACACTGATGTTTCAGGTGCTTTGTGAGAACATCAAGCATGACAGTTACGGTCTGCTACGATCTTGTTAAGATAGCTTTAAATGCCAATGAAAGGAAAGGCTCTGATGTTATGTCTGTGAAGCAAGTCATATATATCAAGTGATTTTTCTTACGGGTAGTTTTAAACAATGCAATTATGTTTCCCTCCCTCTGGCCATTTTCTATTAGCCTGGTGTTTCAGACTAAATGATCATGCAACAAAACCGTTCTGCACTTTTTGTCTCAGCACCCTCTATAAAGACAATGATAATTGCCTTGGTGACAATGTATTGCTGCCCTTTTTAAAAGAATGGATCTGTTCATTTATTCATGAATCATATTACTTTAGGCTGAGAACAGAGTGTACTAGGTTTAAAACTGTGGTGTAGGAGGGCAGAGAGGAACAAGCATAGACTTGTGATGCCTCTTTATTAAAAGCTGATCCAAACCGTTTCGGGCAACTGTCTTTCTCATTTACAGGATTTTCTGTATATATTATATACATTTCATATGTATTCATAGAGTTCTTTCTCTTGATACAGTATAATCAAATAATCAAAATACATTCCTATGTGTTCAGTTTCTACCAATGCAAGTATCAATGTTTTTAGCATTGTAAAATGTCTTGACATTTGTGCTTTGGACTGATCAGAAGGACTAAGACTTCTCAATTGAAATATGCATAATTGGACAGCCCAATCTAGATATATGGCCCAGATGTACACCACTGCTCGAAAGCTTGGGGTTGGTAATGTTTTTAAAAGAAAAACTTTTATTTTTTCATGCTCACCAAAGCTGCATTTCATACAGTAAAAACAGCAATATTGTGAAATATTATTACAACTTTAAATAAAGGTTTTCTATTTTAATACGTTTTAGAATTTAATTTATTCCTGTGATGCAAAGCAGAATTTTCAGCAGCCATTACTCCAGTCTACTGAGCAACATGATCATACAGAAATCATTCTAATATGCTTATTTGCTGCTCAAAAATATTTCTTACTATTGTCAATGTTGAAAATATTGCTGCTAAATATTTTTGTGAAAATTGCTACATTTTTTCAGAATTCTTTGATGAATAGAAAGTTCCAAATAACAGCATTTAGTTGAAATATAATATAAACATCTTTACTGTCATTTCTGATTAATTTAATGCATCCTAGCTCAGTAAAAGTATTAATTTCTGAAAAAAATATAAATATTGAATATTCTGAGAAAAAGGAAGTGTACAAAGCATTGTGTAAGAGGTGAAAATTAATGATAATTAATAACCTCTGGATTATTCAGATGTGGAGCAGACTGCAGCTGATGTTTGTTCAGGAGTTTCTTTCAACCACAACACCATTATGGAAAAACAGATTGCAAATGCTTTTTTTTTCTTCTCAGAATAAGAATTTCAAAATATGGGTTGATCAAGGAATTAGTTGTTGTGAACATTACGATACGGATTGGGGTTTGTTGTCATTGGGGCTGAGTAAACAGAATTATAATGAATCCAAATTATTTATTTTTTTTGGCAAGTATATCAAACAAGACCTTCTAAAGGTCAAAACCATAAACCTAGTGGATATTGCCCTGTCAATCTATGATTGTTACCATTATTCTGCGGTACACAACCCTTTTTTAATCACCGTCACATTACATTCAGAATGCAAACACAGCATTCATAGCTTTCACATGGGTTCTTCTGACATGGCTCTAATGTCAGAAGAATGCTCAGTGCAATGCTTGGTGAAGTAAGGGTGTGTCAGATTAATGAGACAATTAGATTAATTAAATTAATTACATTTTACTTCCTGCACCAGCCTAATTTAACACCATTCAGACTGCACAAATTTACCACCAGCATTTCATCCCTCAGCTTTAAAAATGGCAAGCTGGGGAAACCTTTACATTTGACTTAGCTCTGCCTTCAAATACATAGATTTTTGGCAAGAGATATGCAATATCCAAAATTCAAACTGTCTTTCCAAGTACCAGAGACCTGTCTTCTGGGTTACTTTAACCACAGGCAGTGTGTCACATCCTAAAACTTACTGTAATTTTATTACTAACTGTCAAAAAATGTATTGTAATAAAATGGGAATAAGAATGTGAATTTCATAATTTAACAGCTGTATCTCTCTAAAAAGTTCTCTGTTGCTCCCTTTTAGTCGTGTATTTTTCAGTTCTTGTGATTTGATTTCTTTTATGTTGTAGCTGTATAAATGTTAACAGGGTAAATTGTTAAATGTATAGATAAATGAACAAATAAATTCAATTATGGATCACTGTATCTAATAGTAATGATCTAATAATCAGTGAAAATGAAGTAATGATAAAGTGATTCCGTAAGATCTACTGAAGGGTCTTCCTAGTGTTTTCCATTGTAAATAGTGCAGTTTGAAGTACATGGGACATCTTGGTTGCATTTTTTTAACATGCTATGTTTTGATTGTAGACTTAGACTGAACAACAATTAGGAAGGAGAGTCCTTGTTACAATCTAATCTGTGGGCTTGGGTTAGTCTGAAACCAAGACAAGACAAATGATTCTGCTATCACAGTGAGCCTGTTGTTAACTTATGTTCCAGTTAATACTATGCATGTTATCACAAGTAACATACATTGATGACTACTCACTAATCACTTCCTTTATCATGGGCTATATTCTATCTGAGTAATAAATCACCTACTGAAACCAATTACATGTTCTAATTGATGACCAACAGCTCAAAAATGCCAGGATTGGACTTTTTAGGAGCTTCTGTACATTTTAAAAATACATTCACAAAGTGTTATTTAGTATACAGTGTCTATGGATAATCAACGGTTTGCCGTGCATTAAAGGGGTCATATGATGCGATTTAAAATTTTCCTTTCTCTTTGGAGTGTTACAAGCTCTTGGTGCATAAAGAAGATCTGTAAAGTTGCAAAGACTAAAGTCTCAAATCCAAAGAGATATTCTTTATAAAAGTTAAGTCAGCCACGCCTACCTAAAACGGCTCGTTCTAACACACCCCCACATACCTACATCACTATGTGGGAAGATTTGCATAATGCCGCCCAAATGTTCGCGCAAAGAAAGAAGGCATAACTTTTATTCTCGCTGTAGTATTGTTGCTGCCGCCATGTTGTGAAGGCACTGTGTGATTCGTTGTGAAAGCGAAACTACTTTGTTTGGCCTTCCAAAAGAGGGTGATATCTGCTTCGTCATGCCTAGAGCTGATCCGTGCTGGTTGCTGAGGAAATACTACAACTTTGTGCTGTGGATCGCCGGATCGGCTTTCACCGTGCCCGGGGTCGTCACATGTGGTTGCCGCAAACCCGCCGGACACACATTCGTCGAATCCGCTGCCACTGCTCACTCTAGCCCTCCGGCCGTTCCTCACTTCATCCCCCGGCCTCTGCTCACTCTAGGTTGCCGTGTGTGACGCTGTGTTTCGTTGTGAAAGCAAAACTCCTTTTTTTGGCCTTGCAAAAATGGACACGACTAGAAATCAGTGGTTAAGTTGTATTTACAACACTGTTCCAGAACAGTTCAACCCAAATATTCAGATGTGTGCAGCACATTTTATGGAGGACCGTTTCCTGATTCTGGGAGAGTAGACTACAATGCCGGCTGTTCTGACTCAAAGACTGTAAGTAAGTTTTTTATATTTAAAGCAAGTTTTTTGGGCAGTGTATAGTAGGGCTTGTTGTTTGTCATTTCTCCGATCACAAATGCAGACATGGTTTTATGTTTAAGCGGCGCGATGCAACACAACGCGTAAAAAGACTAAGTATAAGTCATTATAAAAAGTATAAGTCATTATAATCCATAATTATGTCCCCACTGGATGCAACGAATGCCTCGTTTATAATGGGTTTTAATGTTTTTGTCTCATCGTTCCGGCCGGACAGGGCATCATCACAATATGGTAAGGGTCGTAGCATTTCCGTCACACGCTTGAGGTATTCAGCCAATCACAACGCACCTCACTTTTTCAGACTGATGAGCTTTGTAAAAATCGACACGTTTCAGAAAGGCGGGCCATAGAGGAGAAACAATAATGTACAGTATGTGGAAAATAATGTGTTTTTTTTAACCTTAAACTGCATAAACACATTTCATTACACAAAATAATGTTCTTTTTAGCATATGACCCCTTTAAATTATTTTAAATTGACGACATGGAGGCAAAGAACCTCCAACCTGGTTGCCTCCATGAAGTGCATTTAAAATTCTTTAATGCACGGCAAGCCATTGATTATCCCACTTATTCCATGGTCATTTGCCAAGTTATATGGGTTTTAATGTTTTTGTCTCATCGTTCCGGCCGGACAGGGCATCATCACAATATGGTAAGGGTCGTAGCATTTCCGTCACACGCTTGAGGTATTCAGCCAATCACAACGCACCTCACTTTTTCAGACTGATGAGCTTTGTAAAAATCGACACGTTTCAGAAAGGCGGGCCATAGAGGAGAAACAATAATGTACAGTATGTGGAAAATAATGTGTTTTTTTTAACCTTAAACTGCATAAACACATTTCATTACACAAAATAATGTTCTTTTTAGCATATGACCCCTTTAAATTATTTTAAATTGACGACATGGAGGCAAAGAACCTCCAACCTGGTTGCCTCCATGAAGTGCATTTAAAATTCTTTAATGCACGGCAAGCCATTGATTATCCCACTTATTCCATGGTCATTTGCCAAGTTATAGACAAGTTAAAACTAGTATTGCTCTTTGCAGCGCAATATTTGACCGGATGGGACCGGATGACTTATTTTAGTCAGTTACGGCTCGTTAGCTCTAGCATTCTGCCCGCTTGAAATCAGACACAGAGATGAAATAGTGCAGTTAGATCACATTTATTTGAATGAATTATAGCATTTATTTGAATTAATTATCGAAAATTTGATCGAGAGAGAAAGATGCATATGTGCATCTCTCTCTGCAAACAATTTGTGGGTTTAGTTACTTAAACAGAGATTTTACCTCCTCGTTGCTGAGGAATATAATGCAGTGATCCAGTATCTAAGTGGTTTTATTAATTAAAAATGTGGGGCAGTGTTGACAAGTTTATGTTGGCCTACTCCTGAACGTTTCTGTGTGCGCAGTGGGATCTCTGATCGCTCTCTCTCTCTGTGCGAGTGGTGTGTGTGCTTTTGTGTGTGTCAGTTAAAGCAGCACATTAATATAGAATGGTGAAAACTACCTGTGCATTAAACGGTTTTAATGCATACCTGCCAGCCAATCATAATCGAGTATTCAGACAAACCATGGAATAAAAAAAAATTATACATTTTCTTCTTTTGAGGTTTTCATGTTTTATTCTTTTATACTATTAAACCACAAAATATTACATTTTTATTTTGATCACAAAAAGATAAGTAAAAACTTATGTACAGTAATTAAAGACTAAATAATCGTTTGCATAATCACTCAAGTCGGTATTTAGCATATGCAGCAGTAATTCACAGCATTTTTTTTTAATTACCTTCTGTTTCTTGGAGTGTTATTTTTGTTTCAACGTCCACATTTTGACATAATACTGACTCACCAGTGATGATTTGCATGTAATTTTAAAGGGAATGACTACTTATGAATCTCTTTATATTATACTTCATATTCATAACTACTTTATATCACTTTATAGAGATCTGATTGCACTTTTAAGGCATATTCAAGAGGGACAAAATAGGTGACACCATCTAAAATGTAACCGTCATTAAACATTAAAAGCATTTGGGGGGGGGGGGGGGTCTTGCAAACTGCCTACAGCTCTAATCTTTATCACAGTTAGATTAGAATAAATGCATGTAAAGCATGAAGCTAGACTTTCCAAAGCACTATTTTAGATGAAAGCTGATCCTTGAATGTTTTTGTTACAGTCTGCAGTACTTTCTGCTATATTTGAAACCACACAACTGACCTTCTGAACTAACAAAAATGCTGCTGAAGTTACTGAATATCTGTAAAAGCAAACATAACACAATGATGATTTAAAGAGGGGACAAATTAGAAATAGACATTGCGGCGAGTTAAATGTAAATGTGATTCTCTGTCTTATATCTATGCCTGTCGTAATAATAAATATATCGACTTATCGTGCAATATATGTACATGACCTCAATTTATGGTGATGCAATATATTGCACATTATACTTACATAAAAATTAATGTCACCATGTTTTTTGCATTCCACTTGCGCCCGTGTCTTTTGCAGCTTCTTGTAAATAACGTGGTGTAGTCATGAGGTGCTAGTTCAAATTTTAAAAATGCTTCTACAAACAAAGTTTCATCTGCAGATATGGTCTTGTCTAGGGATCTGTGCATTTGTGCATACGGACATCTGACTGCTAAGCAGGGATTGTTTTTCAGTAATAGTGTGCACCCTTAATTTACAGAGAAAAGAAGATCAGGGGAAAATTCTTTGCGCATTTTTCTTTTTTTCTACTTGTTACTTTGCACTTTTTGTTAGAAAATGTTTATTTAATATTTATTCAAGTTTTTTAAGGTATCTAATATTTTGATACTTCATTTCCATGATCTAAATATTCTTAAGAATAAAAAGATTGTTGTCATTTGGAAGTGTGTTGGCCTTCTTGCATTTTTATGCTGTTACATTATGATTATATATTCAGTGGCATAAAATGGTCTTTAAAATGACAATAATATCGCTTATCGCAATTATTTCTGAGGCAATATATCGCACAACAAAAAGATGTTATTGTGACAGGCCTACTTATATCTAACTGCTTTAATATTTCAAAATGCTTTTCAAATTCTAGGGAGATTTTTCTCTTGCCATTTTAAGAGCTCTGACCCTGAGCTTACCATATATGCATATGCAAATAGAACAGATTTTGAATGAAACAGAAAACTGAAAGGCAGCTAGGATTAGAACCCACTTTGTGTACCACAGTTTACAATGCTATAGGCAGTTTAAAAACATAACCTTTTCAGCGGGAATTACTAGCTTCAGAATTTTCTGAAAATGAAATGAAAATTATGTTATCATTTACTCACTCTCATGTTGTTCCAAATGCATGATTTTTTTTTCGTCCATGCAATGCAAAAGGAGAAATTTCAAGAACTGTACACAATATTTTATCATATTTTTGTGTGAGAAACAGAAATTCAAGATAATCTTCCCCTCCAGTGAGCTATTATGAATGGATCATTGAGTAACCAGATTAGTCATATTCATGAACAAATCAGTTTTGTGAACTAAATGAACATAATGACTTAAAACATCCTGTTTAAAATAAACAACTGATTCACAAATCACTAAATCATCTCTCTACTTCTTCTACAGACTGCTTTTCTCATGAACACGCCAAAGAAAACCAGGCATATGGACAACATTTCTGATACTTTTATTGGGTTTTTTGTCCTTTTTTTAAGCTTGAAAGCTTTAGTTCCCTTTCAATCTTGCATAAAAGGACCAACGCAGTATACATTTTTTCCCCCTATTTTTATGTTCATCAGAAAAAAAAAAAGTGTAATGAGTTTGGAACAACATGAGCATGGGGGATGCATGTATGGATGGATGAATTGCAAAATATATGTGACTGACTGCTGCATCAGGTTTGCCCTTGCTTTTGTAGCACTTGCTTTTGGAGGCCATGTGAAAAAGAAAGAAAGAAAGAAAGGTACTATGGTACTATGTGTGTGTTTCTGCATTCTTGTCAAAAGAGTGAAATCACAGCACCTCTTCAGAGATCTGACTGCTGTGCGTCGTCTGTCTTTCCAGGTCTCTCCTAAGCAGTGTGTTCTGTTTCTCCAGCTGCAGAACCCTGCGTGCCAAGTGAACACTACACACACACACACACATTCAGAAACCTATGATTAGAGTCACGCAGACATGAAAACAGTCAGTAAACACAAAGATGAGCTTCTGGTTTTCAAAGACAAATGAACTCCTCAGACTTCACCTTTGTTTCAGTCTTCTCTTGGCAGTTGTTGGAATGTTGGCACCATAACCATATGAAAACAGTACCCTCTCTGCCTCATCTTCATTTTCCACTACAAAAAAAAGAGGAAAAAGTATGTTTAAGAGCAAGCATGTCTAGACCACCCGGCTAGTATCATGGCCAGAAGGGACTGAATATCTAATATAGGACTACAAACAGTTTTCTATCTTCTTACAATACATACGGTGTAGAAAAGTTTATGAGTGAAGAATGTTGAAGTGGTGTTTAAACAGATAAAAGAAAGAATGAGGCCTCAATAGCAAGTTTTTACAACCAACTGGACAAGAACATAAGGGCCAATAACAAATAAGAATATCCAAAATAAAATAAAAAGGACAAATCGTTTGCCAAGTTCCTAGAAATTTATGTTGGTTTCAGATGGTTTTTAAAAACTTTTACACCTAATGCAGCTTCTAAATACAAATTAAACAACTGAAAGAAATTTTCAATGACATAAACAGGTTATTAAAATGAAAGGTTATCTTCATAATTCATTGACTTCATAATAATATCAGCAAACTGCTTCACTACTTTAAAAATTAATAATGATGATTAATATATACCGGTATATATATAATATATTTACAGACCCTGATATACTTTTTACGTTATGGTCCAAATATCAAAATTAAACTTAATTCAGAAATTAAAAACAGGTTCATCAGAGAGGATGTATATTCAAGTCATTGAGCCTCATTCATGAAACACGAGCAAAACAAATTTTTGTGTAAATCGTCCGTAAAGCCGTTCTGACGTAAACTTTCAAATTCATGAAAATGTTCGTATTTTCAAAATGTTAGTTGGTAGGAAAGAAATTTACACCTGCTCCCTACCAAGTATAAATGGTGCGTAAAACGTTCTTCTGTGTTCATTTTGGCAAACTGATGACACTGAGGCTACGTCCACACGAAGCCAGAGCTTTCCCTATCCGATCTTTTTTGTTCCTCGTCTCAAGAAATATCTGCGTCCACACAAAACCACGAAACCGACACAAAACGATGTAGTATACATGCCAGACCAGTATGTGGCCCTGTAATTCTGCCACAGAGATACACTAAAAACGAAGACGACGACTTGGACTATGCGCATAAACCTTGCACACGGTATACAAACGAACATGGAACAATACATTTATTAATCTGTGTTAATGTAAGTTAATAAAAAGACAATCGTTCAGTGTTTGTTCATGTTTTTGTTGCAGTTACGTGACGTAGCGGTGTCTGACTAGGGGCGAGACTTGGGCTGATGACGTCATCGTTTCAGAAAATATACGGATTCGCTGTCCACACGAAAACGCAAGGGCGGCGTTTTCAGATTTATCCACTCTGGGACCCAGTTTAAAAAAATATCGGTTTCACTCTCCCAAAACGCTGTGTGGACGAAACGCCTATACGATACAAAATGTATACGTATACAGCTAAATGTGTCTCCGTGTGGATGGGGCCTGAATTTGATGCACTGCCATTATAATATTTTAGAAGTTCGTTTGCTCCGTTTTTTTTTCTTGTAGCTGAGAGTTGATAAACTGTTTAGCTTTGGGTAAAACGCGGCTCTTGTCACTGTCACTTTTTACCCAGCCGCCCAATCAATGGAGGAGGGGCGGGACAAATACTACACCGATCAATCATCCTAGTTGTACAACATCTGAACAACAATAGAGAAGTTAATATTGCTGGTTACTGCATTTTTATATTCAGTAATATTCTTCAAAATGAGATACTAGTAATACGTTACTGCCGTGGATATTTCAAATCATAGCAACCAAAGCGTCTCTCAGCTAGAAACCAGCTGGTGGTGTTGGTTTTTTGCATTTATGCAATATACTGGAGCCAAACATGAGAAAGTAGACCAGAATATTCCACTGCGTTCCTGGACACACAATTTACGTAGCTGTAATTCATAGGCGGGCATTATGCTAATTGTGAATGAGCGTGCACGAGCGCCCTATTTACGAATGATTGGAATTAATTAACATACGCATGTTTAACTATCAAATCTGATGTGTACGAAGTGTTTGTGAATTCGGAGGAGAGTTTTCGGGAAGGTCCGTACGCGCAGATTACTCAGAATTTACTCCTATATTTACGAATGTTTCATGAATGAGGCCCATTGTATGTATAAATTATATTTTAATGCACTTTTCAAGGGATTGCATCCAGTATCAACCTGCATTCTTTGTACTAGGCATTCTTTCTCATGTTTGATCTATGCAGATTTGATGAAGTTAAAAACCTGTTATTAACTTGATGAGGTTAAAAAACAGTTGTTAACCTGAGGGATTTTAAAACCTGGCTAGGCCAGCCTTTTGCATCACCTCAGCTCAGTGTCAGCATATTCACTGACGTTTAGAAGAAGGTTGTTTAAGGACAAGCCCTGAGGCCGTTTTGTTAAACAGTCTTCAGGTCTGATTGAGTATGGCATTCTGAACATGTAAATCAGTGGAAAAACAAACATGCAGCGTATTTAACATGTTTTAAATGTTGACATGATGATGGGACTGATTATAGTATTAAACTGTTTTTGCATTGCTCACATGTGCTTTTTGCAGCACAACTGTTTCACGAGTAGTCAAAAACAACTCCTCATCATCATCACAGATTTTACCACAGCATTGACATCCTTAAATCTACAGAATCATATATGCAGAAATAAAACCCTTGGGTAAGAATTTAAGGAAGATTTGGCCTAACAGACTCTTAAATTGCAGCGTGCAACCTTGCTGATGTGCTGGTCTTATCTTATCTTTGGTCTTCAATTGAAATGACTGAATCAGTCTCTGGTCTTACTCTCTGCAGCCTGCATGGTAACATCGTCCAGCTCCTTTTCCAACCGCTCATATGTCTCCAGTCGAGCTTGCTGTTCAGAATTCTGGGCTTGCAATTCAGTGATACGTTTCTGTGATGATGTTTGTAGCCCATAAAACTCTTTTGTTAGAACCTGCATAAGCACATCAAGAGAGGGACAACGATATAACAACAGAAACTGAGTAACAAAGGTGGTGTCATAACATCATGTTCAAATAGGTTTTTATGATACTGACAAATATGTGCAATCCTTGTTTTAGGAGGCTGGTATGGGGTTCAACCCTTGTCTGATGTCTAAATGATTTGAGATTCAGTGTGACGCTCATTACAAGAATTATATATTCAAATTTAAACCTAACAAAGCTAATGATTAATGAACTGATCACCCACAAATGACAAGTCTATCATCACTTATCCTCATGTTATTCTAAAGACTTTCTTTTCTCAGAAGAGCACTGGAGGAGAAAGTACTGCCCCATTGAAGAATGTATTGCCCTGTCAACTGGGATCCACAATGACAAACAAAAACACACCATTAAAGTAGTCTATGTTAATGTAAGTTAATGGAGAGGACCTACAATAATGTACAGTATTTGAAAAATAATGTGTTTTTTGAACATTAAAGCATGTCAACATATTCTGTTACACCAAATACACAAAATAATGATCTTTAAAAAAGCATCATATGACCCCTTTAAATTTAGTTTTGCTCCTCATGCAAATCATACGTATGGATGCACCAGTATTAAAAATTGGTGAAAAGCCGATAATAGTAATAATAATGTAATGTATCAAAAATGTCATCTAAGATTTTCAAAAATTCATGGATTTCATAATATAAATTTTTTTAAAAAAAGGAGCTTGTCCTATTTATTTCATCATATGGTAAAAAGCGGACAGTAAATTAAATATTTCTGTTTTTGTGTTCCTTGGAAAAATCTAAGTCATGCAGGTTGGAGATGCCATGAAGTTGCTGTAAATGATGACAGAATGGTGAAGTAATCCTTTAGGCAATTAACAGGTTTCAACTTGCAATGAGGCTAAAGGAAATCACTTTGTTCAGGTTTCATGTGCATGGCATCTTTGCCATAAGGATTTTATTTTAAAGTGTCTTGCCTCCAGTTTTTTCTGGTGTTTCTCACACTCAATTTGACAAAGGCTGAGGTTCCTGGCCATCTCCTCCTGGACCATCTGGGAACGCTCCAACTCAAACTTTTTCAGCTTCACCTGGTTAAGCAGTTCTGCCACCCTGCTGTCTGAACTCAGCTGCAACTGCCTAAACCTGGACAAAAACACAAATATAAGTGCATCTGCATTCACTCATTCTGCAAACTATCTATCGGTGAAAACAGAAAGACCAACGGCTCTGCAAAATTATCCCATGCAAAGTTATTCTAAAAAATCTAAATTAAAATCAACCATCTGTGATGACAAAGCTGAATTTCCAGCAGCCATTACTCCAGTCTTTAGTGTCATTTGATCCTTCAGAAATAATTCTAATATGCTAATTTGCTGCTCAAAAAAACATTTCTTATCATTATCATCAAAGCTGAAGTTGTTAAGCTGTATAATCACAGAGTTACACTGCTTAAAGGGGTGGTTCACTGTTTTTTTTCTAGGCTTGATTGTGTTTATGGGGTGCAGTCTAATATGTGTTAATGCTTCGTTTAAAAAACAAAACAAAAAAAAACACTATTTTTCACAATTTACCTTTATTTCACACCGCTCTGTCCCTTCTCTGAGAAAAGGGGCTGATCTTTTCCTGTTTTTATGAAGCCCCGCCCTCAGAAATAGGCGATGGGCTCTGATTGGTTAGCTAGCCCAGTGTGTTGTGATTGGCTAAACCGCCTCTAGTGCACGTCTAATCGTCCCGCCCCTCACCTCAGCGGCATGTGCTCCGGTTGTATTGTAAACAACAGCGTTGTTAATTTTGCTTATCAGTTTGAGCCCGATTGAGAAGCAGAGGATATTATTGAAGAGGATCGTGCAGAACCTGTGCAAGCACAGCTTTTAATGGTAGGCCTATGTTTTTTTGTTTGTTGTTGTCTTATACTTTTAAATATGCTGTTATTTGTAAATGCTACTACTTATGTTAGCTTTTAATATACGGTTTTATCCTGATTAAAGCTTTAATACAGTACGGCAACTGCATGTTTAACTCTTCTCATAGCTATGTGAAAATAAGTGTATAATTGTAACAGTTCATTGTTGGAGCTGAGCTGAATGAGAGAGAGAGAGAAAGAGAGAGAGAGAGAGAGAGAGAGAGAGAGAGATGCAGAGCGTGTAGAGCAGGGGGACGCGAGGAACAGTATTAAGAACCGCTGCTTTAGAACATTGATTTTGAAACTTGTGAATCCATTAGAATCTTTAGAAGACAGAGTCGCGATTCATATATGAATAGATTTTTACGTGCACCTCTAGTTTTCTCTTTCTCTTCTCTAAAGCAGCGCAGCATGGCCTTGCCCCCTTTGCTGCATTTTCCCGAGGGCGGGGTTTATCTGGGTTTGTGACGACACGAACCCGGGAAGTAACTTGTTGTAGTCCCTACCAGCCGTTATTGTAGGCATTAAACTGTCAGAATTTTAAAAGACGATATATCCGTTTGCATTGAACGTTCAGCTTGGTAACTTTGCAGATATTGTTTATGCTCAAACAGCAACATTACACACTAACTAACGTTAAAAAAGTTAAAATCACAATCAACCATCCCTTTAATATTTTTTTCTTTGATGAATATAAAGCTCAAAAGAACAGAATTTATCAATGTTATTATTATTATTATCAATGTTGAAAAGAGTTTTGGTCCTTAACATTTTTGCGGAAACTTTTTTCTCAGGATTCTTACATAAATACAGTTCAAAAGAACAGCAATTATTTGAAATAGTCTTTACTGTTGGGGCAAAAACATGAAATGTGTATAATCTCGGCTGTGGCTCACCTTAGGCTAAGCTAAGCGATTGCTAAATTAGGGTGATGCCAAAAAATAAAGAGAAAGTGGTAGAAAAGTAAGAAAAAACTATTCCGTGAATCATAAGATTCATTGCCATTTTGACGAACTGTGTCCATTAGCCCATTTTCAAATATGTAATGCAAGTTTTATTTAAACAAGCAAATTTATGTGCAGCATATTTTATATAATTAAACTGCAATATACATATTTTTGTTCATCTGTGATTTAAGGCTATGCCATCTTTCATGGCTATTTTCATGGCAAAATCTATAGGCTTAATATAATAAATGATATTGAACTATTTATCAAAAAAGTTAACCACGTATCTTAACCAGTTTTCAGAAATAAATATTAAATCCTACATCACAGAATATGAGGATGTGTCATTCCTCTATGCTTGTTTTTACAAATTAATTATTCTTTTTTAAATGATTACTCTAATTTAGTTCAGCTTAGATTTACACTACTGTTCAAACGTTTGGGGGTCAGGAAGGTTTTAAAGAAAGTGACAAAGGCTTGTACATGGTTACCAAAAAAATCTATTTCAAATAAATGCTGTTCTTTTGAATTTTCTATTTAAAGAATTCCTTAAAAAAAAAAGTATGGTTTTCACAATAATATTAAGCATCACAACTGTTTTCAACACTGATAATAATAAGAAAGGTTATTTTTTTTAGCAGCAAATCAGCATATTACAGGGTTCTTCAAATAGTGTACTGCAGTCCGGTTCTGGAGCCCAGCTTAGTTTCAACCAGACTAGACATAATGACAGCACTAACTATTTTTCTTAAGCAAATTTTTGATCTAGAGATAAACACACTTCAAGTCTTTTCTGCTCTGTGCGCTTTGCCTTTCTCTCCTGCTAAATACATAAAGCACCACATTAAGAGCTACAGTGGCTGAAACATGGTGAGCAGCAATTTATGGCGCTTTTCCACTGCATGGTACGGTACGGTACGGTTCACTTTTGGGGGGTTTTCCACTGGGTACAGTACCTGGTACTTTTTTTAGTACCACCTAGGTTGAGGTTCCAAGCGAACCGTACCGTTACCAAAACGTGACGTGTAAACTCTGCTGATCACTGATTGGCCGGAGAGAATCGCCGGTACCTGCATCACTGAACTTGCGACACAAACCCAAGAGAATTGCTATTTAAATCAGCACAGCCAGTGAAGGATCGAACGCAACTGTTTTGAACGAGCGCACCTTTTTTAACAACCAAAAAAATGGCTGTTTCGTGGTCTGTTGAGGAAGTACAGACGTTCCTCTCATTGATAGCAGAGGAGCGGATCCAGGTTGATGAGGCGACGCGGAATGAAAAACTTTTTCAGGAGTTGCGGCAGTAGAGGCGGCGCAACTATAACGACATGTGAATAATCCCGCCCACTCTAAAGCGGTACTAAACTGCAGTAGAAACGCAAACTGAGCCGAGCCAAACCGTGCCGTGCCGAGCAGAGTCGTACCACGCAATGGAAAAGCGCCATTAGATAATACTTTCATTAAAAACTGCAGAAAATGAGAATGCAAACAAAAAAATTCTGTCTACCAGGTTTGTGATTTTTTTTTTTTTCAACATATCCGTTTCTTTTATTCGTCACATAAAATTTTTTTCATATCCCATTGGGTTCAACTGATGAAGTATTAAACCCCTTTTTTTTGTAGAAAACAAAAACACCACTTCTTTGGCTCTAAGGGCCCAAAGTTCTCATCTTTACTGACTATTTTGATTGTTTAGGATATTTTCTTTCGCAAATTACAACTGATTCCCAGCTGGAAATTTATAAGTACTCCAAACAAGTATTGTCCACACCTCCGCTGGGAAGAAAATATAGAGACTGGACCTGTTAGTAATTGAATTGAATTATAATTATTTCTGAAGGATCATGTGACTGAAGTAATGGCTGCTGAAAATGCAGCTTTGCATCAAAGGAATAAATTACATTTTAAAATTTATTCAAATTAAAAAAAATGTTATTGTAATAATATTTCACAATATTGCTGTATTACTGTTTTTTTTGTCAAATAAATGGAGTCTTGCTGAGCAAAAGAGACTTCTTTACAAAAGCATTAACAAATATTACAGACCCCAAACTTTTTAACAGTAGTGTATAATGCAACGCCTACACTAGGTTTCCATTTCAAGAATGTAATTTTTCAAGCCTGTGCTTCAACTTTCTATGTTTTGGCTGCAGACATGCACCAGTAGAGCGTACCAAAATGGAAATACCAGTCTTTTTAATTTTCTAGCCAGTTTAGCATGTTTTCTCACTCTTGACATTTACCAATGCTGTAAAAATCAGAGCTCAAATACGAAGTTAGCCTGTCAGTGAGTCTTCACTGAGCTGTGGCGACTCACTGATTATTTTCTTTAAAGGGGTCATGAACTGAGAAATCAAAATTCCTTCGATCCTTTGACATATAAGAGGTCATTGTACTATAAAAACATTCTGTAAGTTTCAGAACTCAAAACTTTCTTGTTAGACTGAAGCCCATTTGCCAAAACAACAGGTTGTGGAATGTGCCGCTTTATGACGTAATAGTGTGGCTAAACACAGCCTCCGCAGAAGATGATCAACGCCTGCTTCTACATCACTGCCTGTTTAGCCCCGCCCACCGATTCGCACATGTAGTGTAAATAACGAGAGAGGCAAATGCAGGTCTACGCATAAATCAAATGATAAAGATGACTCCGAAGACAAGAAGATGCTGTTCAGTGTCCAAAAATAATTACAGCTATCATAACCAACAGTCAGCATATTTTAAAATCTTGACTTTGATTATTTACTTGTCATTGACAAGCGTTTCATAGTTATACAAGAACACTTTCTTTTTTTTACTTGAGGTAGTAACAGAGGTTAAAATATGCCTTCCTGCAACTTTAAAGTTGTTGATTATTATACACCGACATCACACTAACAGAAAACATGACTACACCCACTTTTACTTACAGTGACAATATATGGACATGTCTATCATCAGTTCATTCAAAGATTACTTGATTTAGCCTTAGAGGAATCCAGTCAAGCCTGAAATGTTTGACTCCAAGAAAAAAAACAAGCAAAACATAAAAAAAGCCCTAAAGAAAGGTCCTTTTCACAGATTTACCAGTGCATGCAAAGGCTAGAACAGCATTAATGCCACCGCTCATCCCTATACTGTGTGCTTACTAATGCAAAAGTTAAGTCATTTTATTACCGTTAACCAATATTTATAATATTGGGGAGGAAATAACAATGATCCAATTACACTACTGTTAAAAAATTTGGGGTCTGTAAGATTTTTGATCAACAAGGCTGCATTTATTTGATCAAAAATACAGTAAAAACTGAAATAGTGAAATCAAGAAAAATTTATTATTATTATTGTTGAAAACAGTTGTGCTGCTTAATATTTTTGTGGAAAGTGACAAATTATTGTATTATTATTGTAAGACATAAATCTTTTGCAACATTACAAATGTCTTTACTGTCACTTCTGATCAATTCTTGCTGAAAAAAAACAAACAAAAAACTAACAATGACATTTGAACAAAATGTACAAAGTTGCCATCCTGATTACAAAATGCCAAGCAGCTTATTGCATCAAATTTATTTCACAGATTTCACTAGTGTATTAATATTGTATGATTCACACACATTCAGCTGTCATGCTTCTTTACACTGAAAGATGACTTGGCAAGAATTCCTGCACATGTATTTTCTCAATAGTTTTTTATTGAATAAGTGTCAATCAGAAAATAAAAACAGCTACAGATTGTCACGCATATGTGAGAGGTGTGTATGAACTTACTGGTCTAAGAGTTGATCATATTTGGCTTGGGCATCTCGTTCTGCATTCAGTGCCCTGTCTTTCTCAATGACAGCATTATCTCGGGATTCACGAAGGTTTCTGAAAGAGTAATAAACACATTTCCTGAAACAGTACTGTACATTATGCAGCACAGGTTTAGGTTAAGTGTGCTTTAAAGCCTTGACACAATATAAATAATGATCATTCATAACCTGTATCATTGCATGTAATACTAACAAGCAAACCCCAGCATTCCACTGCTAACCGTTTCTGTATAATATTCCATAGTTTCACTGGTTGAATTTCACTTTTGCGCTTTGGAGTGACCAGATATATCACAAATAAGTCATTTTGAGATGGCATAAATCCAGTTACACAGCAATTATAGTCCCACAAAAGTGGAGAAACTATGTGTCAAGTCTGTGAGCCGACATGAAACGAGATGTGCCAATTTTCAAAACAACATTAAAAGTATAATGTTGCTCTGATGCTGTGTACAGAAAATGATACTGCATTAGTGCAAAAATATGATGAAAATATAATGAAAGCATGTGGAGTTTTAATCAGATATTCTTTATTCACAGCTACTATGCTTTCAATAATCATGCATGCACTGCAGCCCATCTTAAGAAACTGATTTTCTTAATTTTCTTAATGTTTAGAAGACAAACATAAAGACACAGAGGTCAGAGTTTCCCAACTCAGGGCTCAACAGTGCGACCAAACCTAAATTTTTTAAGTTAGGAGCACAAGTGCTCCTAAAAAGAAAAGTAAGCGTCGAGCCCTGCAACTTTTTAATATATACATTTTTATGGTCATTTATTATTAGGGGACGATCGTTTTTAAAAAAAAAAAGATTTTTTTTGATGAGACTTCCATGACTGGAAATCACAATTTTAAAACTCCCTTACATCCCCAGGTTTTCTGTTGAAAACAGTCCTGTGTGTATGTGTGTGGTGTGTGTGTGTTAAAGCAGGGGTTTTCAAACTGTGGGTCGTGACCCACTTGTGGGTCACAGAGTGGGACAAGTTGGGTCGCACAAAGTCACTTGGCTGCAGCTAAATTTGAGTTTCAATGACACACACACTCACACAGTTCAGTCTAGGGCTGCACAATATTCCAACATTAATTACGAATTGCAATAAGTTGTAATAACAGTAAGGGTTTCAGAGCGACGTCATTATTAAAAGGCTCGATCGGTCCACATTATTAAAAGGAAACAACTCGCTCACTTCACTGCGCTGTATATTCTGCATGAGATTGCATCCACTGAAAATTCAAATGTTGCAAAACTTTTTCAGGTATGCTAATTCATTTCTATCGTCTGTTTGAACTCAGCGCTGTTTTTGTTCCTTATGCATTTACCAATAAGGAAACTGTCTGTAAAAAGCATTTCACATGCACAGGCCGAGTGGGGCACAAACGGGGGTTAATTGTAACACTACGCAATTTAAACATTTCCACATGCTAGCATAACAATATTTCCTTGCCATATCATCTCTATATAGAGACAAAATGTGCCAAAGTTCAAAAATCTTTTGAAGATATTGCTGAACATTTATTTAACCATTGCAAAAGTGCATTTCTGACTGAAGTAAATTTGCCATCTCAGTTTTTAGTGTTTATTTAAAATGTTTATTATTTCTCCCCGTCCCCTATTTATTATTCGCTCTCCCCTACACACACGGAAGGAGCATGAATGCATTTTCTGCGCTGAACCTCGCGATGAGTTTAACAACACCCACAGCGGATTACAGTTCACCGGAGTAAGCGTATTTCGAGTTTTTATAGACATGTTTCATATTTTAACACCTGTAAACAGAAATTAAAACGTAAATATTAGTAGTGAAATTTTTCAGTTGTACTATAAAATAAAATGGTTATTTTTCTTAAATAATTAATTTCTGCCATATTATACTTTTAATTAAGATTAAGCTTAAAGTAGGCTAAAGTCAATTGTTTTTTTTATCTCAAATATTTTGGTGGGTCGTGAAATAGGTTATACTTGTCTAGGTGGGTCGTGGAATGGAAAAGTTTGGGAACCCCTGTGTTAAAGGATCTGTCCTTGTCCAGTCAGAGACATTAAGGCATGCTCTCACCTGTTCTCTCTCTCATACATCTCTTTAGATGCTCTCTGCAGGCTCTCGATTTCATGACTGGTCTTCATTCGAATGCGCTCCAGTTCATCACGCAGTTTGTTTTCATACTCTGTCTTATAGTGATCTCTGGTGGAGGGATGCAAACAGCACAACTGTCAAACTGTAATGACTTCACAAAAAAGATTTGAGAGTCTTAATAGACCTTGAATCTCTGTTCCGAATCCAAATATAATGCCACAATACTAGAGTCACCAGATTTGGCCCATTTCTTCATATCATGCAAACTTCTTAATAGAGATCAGGGCTGTATTCGTCATAAAACTGAACTCTGAATGAATTCTCACAACTGAATAAAAATTAGGTTGAGAGCAGGGAATGTAAAAAGGCAGCATCCTTATTATTTACCACACATACCTAGAAGCAACATATTTTTCATAGGCATCTTCCCTGGCCTTTTTAGTGTCTTCAAGCTGGGTCTGCAGTCTGTCCAGACGGTCTTCTTGATGAGCACAGCGCACATTAAGCTCCATGTTCTGCCTGTTTAAATATTCTTTGTCCTTCTGCATCAATGTTACAGACTGCTGCAGAGTGGCCACCTGCGGATAAAAGGAAAAAAGCAGTGAGAAAGGGTTAAAGTAAGTAACGGGAGACAATTTGTGACAGACAGATTTATGTTGACATTTGGCTACCAAATGCCCCCATGGATAGTGTGCCAGATATAAAATGTACTGTCAATGGATAATACACTTCAAATATATTTTTCAAATATATAGAGGAATTGTACCTTGCTCTCTTAAACACATCACTTAAAAAGAAAATAAACTGAAACATTGTTTATCACCAACTGTCAATCTCAGATGTTGATCATTTAAACATGGCCCAATAAGTCAACAAAATAATTGGCCTAACGGATATGCTGATCTGTCAGTAATATTAAGAACACATTACTTCCTTATTTAGGTCATTCCTCTCTTTTGTCAGGGCAGTGTGTGTGAGGTCCAGCATTTCCAACTTCTTCCTCAACTCTCTCAACTCCGTTTCACACCCATCTCTCTCTCTGTGGAGTCAATAATACAGGTTATATTTGTATATATATGCACACACAACCACAGCATTAAAGGACTGAACTAATGATGGCTCTGTAAGATTTTTTTTTTATGTTTTTGAAAGAAGTCTCTTAAGCTCACAAAGACTGCATTTATTTTATCAAACACAGTAAAATCAGTACCACTGTTAAATATTATTACAATTTAACCCTTAAAGACCTAGAACACTTTTGGGGCACCTGACACGCCTGCACTTTTCTTTGTTTTTAAAGGTGTCATAAGATGCAATTTAAATTTTTCCTTTCTCTTTGAAGTGTTACAAGCTCTTGGTGCATAAAGAAGATCTGTAAATTTGCAAAGACTAAAGTCTCAAATCCAAAGAGATATTCTTTATAAAAGTTAAGAGTCAGCCACGCCTACCTAAAACGGCTCGTTCTAACACGTCCCCACATATCTACGTCACTATGTGGGAAGATTTGCATAACACCGCCCAAATGTTCACGCAAAGAATGAAGGCGTAACTTTTATTCTCGCTGTAGTATTGTTGTTGCCGCCGCCATGTCGTGAAGGCACTGTGTGATTCGTTGTGAAAGCGAAACTACTTTGTTTGGCCTTCCAAAAGAGGACGATATCTGCTTCGTCATGCCTGGAGCTGATCCGTGCTGGTCGCTGAGGAAATACTACAACTTTGCGCTGTGGATCGCCAGATCGGCTTTCACCGTGGACGAAGCGGAGTCCAGCCCGGGGTCGTCACATGTGGTTGCCGCAAGCCCACCGGACGCTCCTTCGTCGAATCCGCCGCCTCTGCTCTTTCTAGCCCTCCGGCCATTCCTCACTTTATCCTCCGGCCGCCGCTCACTCTAGGCCGCCGTGTGTGATGCTGTGTTTCGTTGTGAAAGCGAAACTACTTTGTTTGGCCTTCCAAAAATGGACACGACTAGAAATCAGTGGTTAAGTTGTATTTACAACACTGTTCCAGAACAGTTTAACCCAAATATTCAGATGTGTGCAGCACATTTTATGGAGGACTGTTTTCTGATCCTGGGAGAGTAGACTACAATGCCGGCTGTTCTGACTCAAAGACTGTAAGTACGTTTTTTATATTTAGAGAGTTTTTATATTTTATATATTTAAAGCAAGTTTTTTGGGCAGTGTATAGTAGGGCTTGTTGTTTGCCATTTCTCCGATCACAAATGCAGACATTGTTTTATGTTTACGCGGCGCGATGCAACGCAACGCGTAAAAAGACAGTATAAGTCATCATAATCCATAATTATGTCATCACTGAATGCAACGAATGCCACGTTTATAATGGGTTTTCATGTTTTTGAATCATCTCTCCGGCCGGACAGGGCATCACAATATGGTAAGGGGCGTAACATTTCCGTCACACGCTTGAGAAATTTGGCCAATCACAACGCACTGGATAGCTGGACAATCACAGCACACCTCTCTTTTTCAGACCGATGAGCTTTGTAAAAATCGACGCATTTCAGAAAGGCGGGACATAGAGGAGAAACAATAATGTACAGTATGTGGAAAATAATGTGATTTTTTCTTTAAACTGCATAAACATTTCATTACACCAAATAATGTTCTTTTTAGCAGCATCATATGACCCCTTTAAGACCTATTCTAGCAGTCAGCATCAAGTGTCATATATCATTATAAACAGGAGAACTTGAAGTTTCAGTCTAGCTAATTTAAAGTCCCAATTTTCCTTTTGTTTTCTCTAAGAATGAATGAATTTCCAGAATTTTAAGAAAAATGCAAGCAACAATATGGTGTTTTTTTTACTGTGTACTCAAACTGAATTTTTTTTTCTTTAGAAAGTTATATCTGGATGTTTTACACTTCCAAATAAAAATGTCTACATATAACATTCCCCAAGCAAGTTATAGCCATTTATTACAATATTGTTATAGGCACTTTTCAGTGAAAAACAGGTTTATTTAGTTTACTAACAATATAGATGTGTCCAAAAAACGTTTAGGGGGTAAAAATAATGGAATCAGTTATAAAATAACAAAACACAGTAAAAAAGTGCCTTTCTTTCAGAGAAATATATTTTCAATCGGAGTATGAACAACAGCAAACACAAACCGTGCAGCTATTTAGTGAAAACAATTGCACAAATTGTCTTCTGTAACAAAAATACAAATAGTGCAAATGATTCACAAACTACACACAAAATGAGTGAGAAATACACATGAGTGTTGTAGAAAAAATAGTGAAAATGATCTTTATGAACTATATAAAAATTATTTGCATAATATACATAATATAAATGATCGATCCGCTGGCTGTACTCTGCGTCGGAATCGATTTTACCGGGACATCGCCTAGCGACGCGAATACATAAATTCCAGTGCTCTAACCAAATTTCCAGTGAAAAATCCTAAATGGTGGTTCAAAAGACCAAAACCTATGTTTACTGGTTGAATATGGGATGGTTTGACTTTGAACCAATCTGGGCACGGGGGTGGGACTAAGCGTCAACAAGGGGAAGTTGTGGCCTAATGGTTAGAGAGGTTGCGGGTTCGAGTCTGGTACCGCGAGGGGTTGTAGGTGGGGGGGGGGAATGCACAGCGCTTTCTCTCCCACCTTCAATACCACGACTGAGGCACCCTTGAGCAAGGCACCGAACCCCTAACTGCTCCCTGGGCGCCGCAGCAAAAAAAATGGCTGCTCACTGCTCCGGGTGCGTGTTCACGGTGTGTGTGTTCACTGCTGTGTGTGTGCACTTTGGATGGGATAAATGCAGAGCACTAATTCCGAGTATGGGTAACCATACTAGTCCACATGTCACGTCACTTCACTTTCAATCCTTCCTGTTTGGCTCAGAGAACCGAAATGCATTGGTTTCTTCTGACGAATCAATGTTGTCAAAATGTGATGACGTAATCACGTACACTACGGAGCCTCTGTAAATCCAAATAAGACAAATGCCACTGCTCCGGGTGTGTGTTCACTGCTGTGTGCACTTTGGATGGGATAAATGCAGAGCACTAATTCCGAGTATGGGTAACCATACTAGTCCACATGTCACGTCACTTCACTTTCAATCCTTCCTGTTTGGCTCAGAGAACCGAAATGCATTGGTTTCTTCTGACGAATCAATGTTGTCAAAATGTGATGACGTAATCACGTACACTACGGAGCCTCTGTAAATCCAAATAAGACAAATGAGATATTTCTGCTTTAAAACACCTTTTAAAGCATTCAGATAGAATTAGCGGTTCAAAAGTTATTAAACATTTAAGAACAATAGTACTTTTTAGTACTTTACTGTCTCGGTCTTTGAGGGTTAAGATTTACAATTTTAAATTGTAATTTATTCCTGTGATGATAAAGCTGAATTTTCAGCAGCCGTTACTCCAGACTTCAGTGTCACATGATCCTTCAAAAATAATTTTAATATGCTAATTTTTTGATTGTTTTGATTGATCGAACAGTTGCTACTAATTTTATGGAAACGGTGATAATTTATTTCAGGATTCTCTTTTTTTTTTTTTTTTGCAACAATGTAAATGTCTTTTGAATGGAGTCTACATGTGGTCTACATGTGGACAGGCTATACTAAAATTAGGGCTGACAATGGATTAAAATAATATTTTAATTAAATTATTTGAGCTCCATATAGCTGTGAGATTGTGTCCTGTGCTCACAGCTCCTTTTTCATTCTGTGTTGCCTGCTCTTATGGTTTAAAAGGGTGCAATGCCTGTATTAACAGCAGAGACTCACAAAGACAATGCAGGACATTCCACTCACCGTTTGATTTTGTCATAGTTCTCTCGTTTGTAGTCTCCTTCCTGAATAAGCTGCTTGGTGTCAGCAAGTTCCAGGGTGAGTCTCTGACAGCGGATTTCCAGCTCTGAGCGTGCTCTCCTCTCTTCCTCATAGCTCTGGTCGGGATATGGGAAAGCAGCAATGTATGTAAATAAGAAATAACAGTAGTAATGCCAATAATAAAGATTATTTCACAGATGTCTGGAATACTTGATTCTGCATTTATACCAGCGCAAATTAGAACAGCCAATGAAAACAGTTGTCATCTTGCAACTCGAAACTGCTTAAGCTGTTAAAGCGGACTAAATGATACATATGTCACCAGAGAGAAGTCTGTAGTTTTCATCAGAATGTCCACATTTTAATTAAATCTTACGAGATCAAAACATTAGAAAAGATTAAACGGATGGATTAATCGAAACGGATGAATTGTTCAAGTAAATTAAAATTGAAAATACATTTTCAATTTCACACTGACTTTAAAGACTGTAGTAAAAATAGTATCCAAAAAGAGAAGAAACTTTTTTTCACACCTCCATTAGTGATCTAATTTGGTTACGATGACTGTCCAGATCCTCGTTCAGGTTAGTCTTTTTCACTTGCAGCTCAGTCACAAGAGCTCTCAGAGGGTTCACAACCTCGTAGAACCGAATCTATGTGGAGAAAAAAAACACATATATATATACACACACACACACACACACACACACACACACACACTATAGCTTTTAAATCTGCTCAGGGTTTGTCCACAAGTTTGTTAGTGGGAGTAACCAACAGCACCAATAAATAAACCTAACAATCTTTATTCCCAACTCCAGTTGATAATTCAGTGCTTACTGCCACATATTCAGGGATGGTGAGTTTGTCCTCAGGCATTTCCTTCAGCTCAGTGTACTTCTCCTCAGACAGCTCCACGTCCCTCAGGCTCCTGCGGAGATCACCTGCTCGATCACACAGCTGATGGTTTGTCTCTTCCAGCTGCTTCTGTCTGAGCATGATGGTGTCCATTTCCTGCTTCCTCAAGGCTTGCTGCTTCCTGCATAAGCAGAAGCCACATTCAACCCTATAAAGCCTATCATATTTGTATCATGTATCATATTTGATATATGAATTTCAACGGCCTCTAAATGACCGAGATGATCAAAACTTTGCTGAAAGACCTGTTGTGCACAATCTACTACATACTTTTTTAAGCAAGTAAAGGGTATTTCAGCCTTTTTGCTGTGAAATGTTTACTAATGTTTACAAAGTAAGAATACATTTTATATTTCAAGATATTTCAAAATGAACTTTTCCTGGACTGCAGCAACGTAGGTTTACCTGATTAAACACTACTTGATTAAGCATTTTCAGAAAAATCATATTAAAATGTGAGTATCAAATATGTTGTATCAGGCTTTTGAGAAATGTTTATTTGTTCATCTCTCAATCATAATTGTATTGCATTGCATTATGTTTTGCATCCACAATAAAAATTTCAGAGCTTTGATCATGAAACTAAGAATTTAAATATCATCTTACTAAGACAATTTATGGAGATTCAGAGTGACAACTAATATGTATATGCATTTTATGTAAGTAATCTGTTGTTCTATTATAAAGATGTCATTGATTTACATTACAAGCTATCAATCTTACTTTTTGGCCATATAAATAATAAATAAAATCTGCACCAAAAATATTTTTGCCTCTGAATAAAAGTGAGATGTTTTTTCCTCCTCGAGTATGAGCTCCATATTCTCACTATATCATACTACATGAGCCATATATAAGCCTGATGTATCAAATATGATGCATCAAAGCATAAAACAATTATGCAAAGTGTGCAAAGTACTTTTTATTTTATATTTTGTCTAAAGCACCAATCAAGTGTTCAATTGAATTATTATAATCATTCATTTAACATTCATTAGCAGTGTTGGGGGTAACGCATTACAAGTAATGCGAGTTACGTAATCAGATTACTTTTTTCAAGTAACTAGTAAAGTAACGCATTACTTTTTTAATTTACAAGAAAATATCTGAGTTACTTTTTCAAAAAAGTAACGCCAGTTACTTTGTTTTCCCAGTTATTGACTGACAGCTCTCCTGTCCCCATATTGGGAGAAATCAGAAGTACAGAGGCGTTGTGTGTGCTGTGTGAACATGATGTAGTTCTAGACTAAATGTGAATGTGCATTAATTCATCCCACTCACAAAAAAAAAAACAGATTTAGTATTCATCAAAATGCATTAAAACAGTGAAATGCAAACTCAGAATATGATGCAAACTAGGGATGCACCGGTTTGACGATAAATCATGATAAAATTCCCCACGGTTAGTACTACCGTTTCATCTTTTAATTATCATTAAAACCGTATTAGATTACCGCGATTTGAACAACTCGCGATAAATAAATACGGTCCAGCATAAAGCACAGTTTTAAGTAACAGTCTCCCGTGCGCACAGCAGCAGAGTAGTTTTGTTTTGAGTGAAAACAGGGTGGAAAAGTTGGGAGGTTTTAAAAGAGTGCTAAGGGAATTATACAAATGAATATATGAATGAATTAATTATATGAATGTACCTCTGAAGGTTCTGACTGTCTTCAGAAACGATTCGATGACATTTTGTTTTCATCTTCGCTCCATGTAATACCTAAAGGATGCGTTTTTAATCGCAATAATGCTTTGTACACGGAGGTTACGGAAACAGCTCTAATTCAGCTTTTCCACAAGCGCCACCTGCTGTCAGCGAGTGGATTTACAGAGACTTATATTTACATTCAGCCTGTGTGCGGTTTCTGTCTGGCCAAAAACGGATCAAATTTGCATGCCCTGCTGTACATTTTGACCAGTTGATGAAAAACAAGCTTATGTGGATTCTACACATTTGAACAATTCAGATAAGTTATCTAGAATTATTTATGGAGTAGATAAAATACATATAACCATCTATTAATCAATTATCATTTTGACTTTTGTCTCTTCTTTATTTAAAGGCTGAAATGTGAGGTTTACCTTTTTATGAAACTTTTTCAAAGCTTTATTTGAACATTTACATTAGATATTTCAACATGCTATTAAACTGTTGTCAGCCAAGTTGTCATTTAAAATCCGAACATCATTGGTAATGTTGTTTTAGTGATTATGCAAACAAAAAGTCGTTTTATCTGTTGTTTATAGATTTATAAATATAAAACTTGTGATTATATAAATATTTAAAAAATATTAAAAAGTGATTTATGTGTCGTTACTTTTTTTAACATCTCCAGCACATTTGAACAATACCGTGGTAATACTGATAACCGTGATCATTTTGGTCACTATAATCATGATAAGAAATGTTCATATCGTTACATCCCTAATGCAAACCTGCAATTATTAACTAATGTCTTTGCTGCTGACCTTTGATGATCCAGTTCAACCATACTAATAAGCAAAAATGACTAGATAAACTAACAATTGTGCGTCATTGTTTTTTTTTTATTGCTGAAGAGTGTTTCTTCTCCTGCGTTCTACTGTACAGACGTGAATTTACTTTTCCTTCAGCCTGAGGTTACACTTTTTGGTGTGAAAGGGCTTTTACATTTGCTATAAATAGAACCACTAAAATTAAATAAGGCACATTTGTCAGCCAATACCAAATTGAGCACTGACAGATTGTACATCCCTACTTCCAAAAGATCTTTTTTCTCAGTAAAACTGTGTAAACGTACCTGTTTTCATCCTGCTGTAGTTTGAGCTGGCTGTCCAGACGCAGAGCAAGCACCTGCTTCTGATGGAGAGCATCGTTCAGCCTTTCCTCCAGCTCTTCTATCTACAAATGAACGTGCAAAACAATCATTTTAACGCTTACGGGTGAACAAACACAGCTGAAATACTTTTAAAACTGCTTTCAGTCTAATGTAGAGAGTAGTTTTGTATTCATCAACCATTACCTTGGTGAGGTGGTCCACTTTGAGGTTGTCGATGAGCAGATTTTTCTGTGACAGCTCTATCTTCAGTTTTTGAAGGGTATGAAGCAGCTCTTTTCTTTCCAGGAGCTGTTTTGTCACCTTCCCTGCTCCATCTTTCTCATCCGAAGACGATATGTCCTCTGTGGGGACTGTTGTCTCCAAACTGATGTCCTCAGACTCGATGGAGCTGGAGATGTTTGCCGTGGCGTCTCTTGGCTTCTTAGGTGGCATCTCGACAAAGCTCCAGTCCAAAAGTCCTACCGACTTGTCATGTGAGATAAGAAGACTGTTCTTCAAAGATGGAAATGTAGCAGTCAAGCGGCAGGATAGGAGCTCAGACGCTCAAGTGTAGAATTAACGGATAAGCGATGACAGCTGGACAAAGCAAGGTGACAAATTCGGTTATTTCAGGTTAACCACCTGACTTTCACAGCCTCGTGGCAAGAAAAGACGACAAAGTTTAAAATGTCTTATGTTGGAAAACGTGTTTTATGATTAAAACGGGAACTTATTTATCACACCGACTGTTGTTTTTAAGCGTCCCGCCTCCCATAGAAACAGCAATGGCTGACAACAGAGAAGAGAAGTGACGTTTGCGTTAAAGAGCGTCTGATGGAAAATAACGCGCCATCTACAGGATTCCGCCTGAACGGGACTCTTAATTTGAAATTTCCCTAAAACTCGAGACCGGAAATAAGAGAATGTGTTTATTGTATCGTAGCATATTTCCTGGGTTTGTGAACGAATACATGTGTGTTTCATTATTATTTCGTCTGACACAATCATTTTTGCGATGTCTACTCAAAATATAATTGGATCCGCTTTGACACCGACGATGGAAAAAAGCAAAAATTATGATTCAGATGAAGAAGGCGCAAGTATGTTAACGTTACACATTGTAGCAGCTGCTTTGTGAACTGCAAAATATTTTTTTTATTATTTCGTATCTGCAAATGCATAACAAACCTGATTGCCTTTAGATGTTTTCCCCTTTTTCCCCAACAACAGTTAAGTCATTCAGTCCTTTAGGTTTAATTGAAGTATAAATGAATGCACAATAAATAATGCATGCTGCCTCCAGTCATAGGTCCAGCTTTGCCTCCAAAATATAAAGCCTCAGAGTCCTCCAGCTCATGTGAAGACAGTGATCAAGAGGAGGTTGTGTTCAAGAGAGCCAAATACTCATCATCATCATCATCATCATCTAGGAACCGGACTTCTTCAAAGTATGATACTTGATGGTTTTCCAGATACATGTGTTTCTCAGGGATTCATAGTTAATGAAGTGTTTGGTCATAAATAAACCACTTTTGATATATGCAAATTATTTTTTATGTTGTGTTGGGAGATAGTCAACCTTATAAAGCATACTGTATTGTATTTGATAAATACATTTTGGAAGGCCTCTAAATGATAAAAACTGTTGAAAAACCCGCTGTACACAATCTACTACAAGCCTTCTGTCATCTGATCTGATCTTGCCAAAAATGTCCAACTTAGGTTTACGCGGTTATCTTTTCTTTTCTTTTTTCAAGAAAAGTCTAATTAAAATGTAAGCATGAGATATGATCCATCAGGCTTTTGAGGAACGTTTATTTGTTCATTTCTCAATCAACATTGTATTGCATTGCATTATATGTTTTGCCTCCACAGTAAAAACTACAGAGCCTTGATCACAAAACTAAGCTTTTAAATATCACCTTAAGATGGATATGGAGTGGTAGCTGATATTTATGTGCCTTTTTGTTTTGTGGTTAAATTTTTTGTGGTTCTTTAACAGCAGCAGGAGCAATGTGAAAGATGAGATGGATATAAAGCAAGTCGATAAGGATGAGGAGGATGATGATGGTTTTTTTGGTCCAGCTCTTCCCCCAGGATATCAAAAGCGAGACAAATCACCAGAGGGGTAATAAACACTTGATAATAGCATGCCACATAATCATTTGTAGAGCAATTTCAGCATCCCAATCTAAGTCGTGGATGAGCTACATTTTGCATCTCCAGGCCACCTTTACTAGGACCTGCACTCCCTCCAGGATTTAAAAAACAAGAGGATGATGATGAGGATGAAGATGCAGAAGATGATACCAGAGGGTTTTTAGGACCAGCTTTACCACCAGGATATCAAAAGCTAGACGGATCTCCTGAACGGTAACGGGAATTGACAAAAGTACTACTTTACAATTTTTTTTGTTGTGTAGAGTTGGTAGTATCACACACACATAGTATCATATTTATTCTAATTTTACATGCAAATGTAAATGTTGATTTAGGTTTTTTCCCCCTCCCCTGCAGACCACCTGTAGGACCTGCTCTACCTCCAGGCTTTAAAAGAGAAGATGCCGATGAAGATGAAGAAGAGGGAAAAGAAGATGCTAGAGGGTTTTTATTACCAGCTCTACCGCCAGGTTATACACCAGCAGAGTCAAGCGGTGAAGAAGATGATGATTATGTCATTGGACCCATGCCATCAAAAGGACCATTCCAGGACTCTGTGGCATTGGACATTGAAAGAAGAGCTCAAAGAATGAAAGACAAACTTACAGGAGTAGATGTAAGTGCTTTTTATGGTTTTTTTTTTTTTAAACATACATTTTTTTTTATCTATTAATTCAGCTAGTATTTTGGGTATATTATTATTATTTATAATTTACTATATTATTATTTGTTTTTGTATATTGTATATTTCTTCTTACTTTTTACTTTTTGTATATTTCTATCTTTGCACGTATGCTTCTAATTTCAAGCCTCATATACTTCCCATTTTTATTTCAGTTTACATACTTTAAACCTCAGGACAAGTTATTTTGCTGTTCTTGTACAATGACAATAAAGAACTTGACTGATTAGGTTTGTTCAACATTAAAAGAGATGTTGATTTATACCAGTGAGTGGGCAGACTAAACAATCTCGGACTCTTCTGCTTTTAGACTGGCTCCAAAGTGCTCAGAGAGAGCTGGATGACCGAGCTGCCTCCTGAGTTGCAGCATGTGGGCCTGGAAGCACGAACCTTTAAGAAAAGATCAGGCCCTGAGAACAAAGACCGCACAATTTGGACTGACACTCCCGCTGACCGTGAGCGAAAAGCTAGGGTGAGTTAGCGATAGATGTAATTGAGTTCAGATGTGAAATGTGGGGTAGAATTTCCAGTGATATCATATGTGATTTTGCAGGTGATAAAAGGTTGTTGTTGTTGAAGTATGTTAACGTTACACATTGTAGCAGCTGCTTTGTGAACTGCAAAATATTTTTTTTATTATTTCGTATCTGCAAATGCATAACAAACCTGATTGCCTTTAGATGTTTTCCCCTTTTTCCCCAACAACAGTTAAGTCATTCAGTCCTTTAGGTTTAATTGAAGTATAAATGAATGCACAATAAATAATGCATGCTGCCTCCAGTCATAGGTCCAGCTTTGCCTCCAAAATATAAAGCCTCAGAGTCCTCCAGCTCATGTGAAGACAGTGATCAAGAGGAGGTTGTGTTCAAGAGAGCCAAATACTCATCATCATCATCATCATCATCTAGGAACCGGACTTCTTCAAAGTATGATACTTGATGGTTTTCCAGATACATGTGTTTCTCAGGGATTCATAGTTAATGAAGTGTTTGGTCATAAATAAACCACTTTTGATATATGCAAATTATTTTTTATGTTGTGTTGGGAGATAGTCAACCTTATAAAGCATACTGTATTGTATTTGATAAATACATTTTGGAAGGCCTCTAAATGATAAAAACTGTTGAAAAACCCGCTGTACACAATCTACTACAAGCCTTCTGTCATCTGATCTGATCTTGCCAAAAATGTCCAACTTAGGTTTACGCGGTTATCTTTTCTTTTCTTTTTTCAAGAAAAGTCTAATTAAAATGTAAGCATGAGATATGATCCATCAGGCTTTTGAGGAACGTTTATTTGTTCATTTCTCAATCAACATTGTATTGCATTGCATTATATGTTTTGCCTCCACAGTAAAAACTACAGAGCCTTGATCACAAAACTAAGCTTTTAAATATCACCTTAAGATGGATATGGAGTGGTAGCTGATATTTATGTGCCTTTTTGTTTTGTGGTTAAATTTTTTGTGGTTCTTTAACAGCAGCAGGAGCAATGTGAAAGATGAGATGGATATAAAGCAAGTCGATAAGGATGAGGAGGATGATGATGGTTTTTTTGGTCCAGCTCTTCCCCCAGGATATCAAAAGCGAGACAAATCACCAGAGGGGTAATAAACACTTGATAATAGCATGCCACATAATCATTTGTAGAGCAATTTCAGCATCCCAATCTAAGTCGTGGATGAGCTACATTTTGCATCTCCAGGCCACCTTTACTAGGACCTGCACTCCCTCCAGGATTTAAAAAACAAGAGGATGATGATGAGGATGAAGATGCAGAAGATGATACCAGAGGGTTTTTAGGACCAGCTTTACCACCAGGATATCAAAAGCTAGACGGATCTCCTGAACGGTAACGGGAATTGACAAAAGTACTACTTTACAATTTTTTTTGTTGTGTAGAGTTGGTAGTATCACACACACATAGTATCATATTTATTCTAATTTTACATGCAAATGTAAATGTTGATTTAGGTTTTTTCCCCCTCCCCTGCAGACCACCTGTAGGACCTGCTCTACCTCCAGGCTTTAAAAGAGAAGATGCCGATGAAGATGAAGAAGAGGGAAAAGAAGATGCTAGAGGGTTTTTATTACCAGCTCTACCGCCAGGTTATACACCAGCAGAGTCAAGCGGTGAAGAAGATGATGATTATGTCATTGGACCCATGCCATCAAAAGGACCATTCCAGGACTCTGTGGCATTGGACATTGAAAGAAGAGCTCAAAGAATGAAAGACAAACTTACAGGAGTAGATGTAAGTGCTTTTTATGGTTTTTTTTTTTTTAAACATACATTTTTTTTTATCTATTAATTCAGCTAGTATTTTGGGTATATTATTATTATTTATAATTTACTATATTATTATTTGTTTTTGTATATTGTATATTTCTTCTTACTTTTTACTTTTTGTATATTTCTATCTTTGCACGTATGCTTCTAATTTCAAGCCTCATATACTTCCCATTTTTATTTCAGTTTACATACTTTAAACCTCAGGACAAGTTATTTTGCTGTTCTTGTACAATGACAATAAAGAACTTGACTGATTAGGTTTGTTCAACATTAAAAGAGATGTTGATTTATACCAGTGAGTGGGCAGACTAAACAATCTCGGACTCTTCTGCTTTTAGACTGGCTCCAAAGTGCTCAGAGAGAGCTGGATGACCGAGCTGCCTCCTGAGTTGCAGCATGTGGGCCTGGAAGCACGAACCTTTAAGAAAAGATCAGGCCCTGAGAACAAAGACCGCACAATTTGGACTGACACTCCTGCTGACCGTGAGCGAAAAGCTAGGGTGAGTTAGCGATAGATGTAATTGAGTTCAGATGTGAAATGTGGGGTAGAATTTCCAGTGATATCATATGTGATTTTGCAGGTGATAAAAGGTTGTTGTTGTTGTTGTTGTTTTTTTTGTTTGTTTTTTTTTGGCCACTGGTTTTTGGAAAAGAGGGATTTCAGGGACTGTTTTGAAATTCCCTTCTTGTTTGTCTTGCTTAGGAACGACTAGAGGCTAAGGAAAAAGGTGAATCTGCCAAGGATGATGGACCTTGTCTGTCTCACAAAGAGCTTGAGATGGCTGAAAAAGTTTCAAAATATAATGTAAGTTCGGTTAAATCCAGCTTTAAGATTTATTACAAATTGTACTTGAATGAGATAGTCAAAAAATGGCATTAATATTATATATATCACCGTTAAAAAGTTTGGAATACTTTTTTTTTTTAGCATTTATTTGATCCAAACTACAGTTAAAAACAATTTATTTTGGAGTAGCTCACTCTGATGGACCACACCTTTAGTTTGCTACTTGCAGCTGTGACTGCTTAAGTATAAAAATGTTGAATTTCAGTCTCAGAATGCCCATCTCTTTTTAGGAATCCAAGCGTGGTGAATCTCTCATCAGTATGCACACTACGAAGATGAAAAGAAAAGCTGAGGAGGATGCTTCAAAGCCTGTGGAAAGAAGACCCTTCGACAGAGACGCCGACCTCCAAGTCAATCGGTTTGATGAGGCTCAAAAAAAAGCTTTGCTCAAGAAGTCACAAGAGCTGAACACCCGCTTTTCACACAGCAAAGACCGCATGTTCCTTTGAGGGACATTCAGCAAATGTATCTCTTGTTGTCAAGGATTTTTTTAAAGGAACTTTGTACTGCATTGGAATGCTTGCAGCAGCATCATCATCATCAAAACATTATGTGCTTTGTTGACAATTATTTGTAAAATTTAGAGGACCTACTGAGGTTCCTCCTAAATTTGCCTTTTATATGTCTAATGTCTGATTGTAAAAGATAATGCATTAAAATGTCTATAATTTTGTGATTTCTAAAAGTTTTTAGTCCGCCTTTTTAATACTAAGTAATGAATATATAAGTATTATTGTTTATATCCAGTGATAGCATTTTATTCCCCTGAATTCTGACAGTTTTATGTTTTGGGGTCACGTATTGTTTACCAGAGTGTGCTTTCCTCGTAGAATATTCCATGTTCAGATCACATGAACTTCACCCCAAAAATGAAAGAAAGAAAGAATGGATATTTTGCTTAATGAAGCGAAGACTATTTTAGGACCATTACAACTTTTTGTTGTGTCATTACTTGCTATATTATAGTAATGAGAATCAACATTCATAATGATAATTATTAATGTTACAATGCAAACAATCATGAAGGTGAATTTTAAGGATGCAAGTCATAATTCTTCGCAGAGTAGAGGCCATAAGGCTCAACTGAATTGTTTCTGGGACGTTTTTATGCTATCATAAATGTAAAGTGTGATAATTCCTGTGAATAAATACCTCTAAAAAAAACATGTTCACTTCTAAATAAGTCAGTTGCATTTACCAGAAATGTGTGTTTATTGACTATATAAAACGACAAAGCGACGTAGAAAATATCTCCTTTATATCTTAAAATATCCTACTCTAACTCAACTATTACTGGGTGAGCTAACAAAAAGAAAATGCTTGTTTATTTGTTAACTGTTCCACAAAATCTCGGATTTTGTAAATGCGTAGCATCTGCATTAACCAACGCGCTTTTGTTTGGTTTTTGTCCTAACGGGCTACCGTACAACCTGCTCTGTTGATGGAGTGTTAGCTAACGAGTGTGTAGCGTGGAAGAGGTGCACTAAATCCACATGAAATAGCTAGAATAGAAACATTTAAACTATTAACAAGCATGTCAGACAAAGGAGAGGTGGATTTAACCGGGGCAAAGCAGAACACGGGTGTATGGCTGGTCAAAGTAAGTGCTTTAAATAGCTCGATGATGAACAGCTAACGTTACAGCCAGTTGTACATGGCTTTAGCATCTACAAATACCTCGCATGGCAATATGGTTTATATGTTGTGCAGTGTAATTATTAAAACCACGTTAAAGTGGGCCTTGTTTTAAAGCTATGTTTGCATACACTTCATAAAGGTCCCAAAGTATTTGTCACAGCAATGGGCCAAAGCAACAGGGAGAGGAGAAGTTGGAAAGCTCCGAATATGCAAGTATGTAGCAACAATAGGTATCATCTACATGTGATGGAGTACTACAGGCACAACGTTAATTCAAAACATTAATATTCATACAATTGTTGTTGTTTGTACAGGAATCAAGGCAAAGCAGAGGTAATGCGTATGTCTTTAAACATTCAGTGTTTTATCTTCGAGACTTGTGTCTTTAGGTGGATTCAGTGTTCTTCTGATTGATTGACAGGTGTCTTTCACACTCAATGAGGAGCTGACCACCGTGGACACCATTGGGGAGAAATCCTCTATGGTACGGGCCCCCAGAGAGCATCCATTCACTCTGCAGACGGTCGGTGGACAGACTCTGACTGTTTTTACTGAAAACTCTTCAGGTGAGAACCAGGATGTCACTACATGCAATGCTGTGAACTGCTGTGCATTTAAATGATATGAAGATAAAGTACAACATTTGTTGTTAATTGATGAGAATTTCCATGTAGTGTTATATTGTAAAAAGTGGATTATAACAAGCGAAAAAATATAAATATATAAACTCAGTAAATTAACCATTTTTAATAATACATAGTTATATCTTTCTTTATTAAGTCTTTTCACACAAAAATTATGACTCATTATTTGATTGTTACTATTGTTTAATATTATGTTAATATCTCAAGATTTTAAGAGCATTTTTACTTTTTTATTATAAAGAGTTTTAGTACTTCTTGGGGACATCATTTGATGTCCAATGACATGATTTCAGAACTGCTCCATTAGAATACTTAGAAGATGGTCACTTAAGAACAATGTGCACTTTAAATTGTAACATATGTTTAGCACGTGCAGGACGAAGATGCATCAACCAACGTGTTATAATAAGAAATAAATAGAAACATTTGCTAATTTAGTAGTTATAGCACAAAATGTAAAATAATTTACAGAAAATGTTAAGGATCCCTTTCTGGGTAATCTTTTACAGAATTTATAAATGTCTTTTGGTATTTTTATTATATAAAGAATCAACTGTTCTATTTAAAATTGTATTTGGACAGTTTAGTTGAATAACTGAATTACAGATGACAGACAAGGCGGTGTTCATTTGAAAGGTAAATTTATTATACGCACAGCATATGAATATATGCATATTTAATTGCCCATATTTTAACTGAAAATATTCATAATAGCAACAACACTATGAAGTGAATGATTTTACTCGTCTCAACCTATATATTTCAATGAAAAGCAGAGATGTCTGAAATATAGGGCTGCACGATAATTCGAAATGGAATCGAGATCGCGATTGGACAGAAGCTGCGATTATCATGCGTATCTTTCAGTGAAGCGCGGTTCTGTGATCAGCAGTAAATCTTCATCTAAAGGCCAGAGGGCTCTCTCGCGCTGAAACTCCAAATACGCCTCGCAGAAGAACCCCAGAAAATGCCTATCGCTGCAGCTGAATAAACAGAAGATTCAACTGCTTTCATTGATTCAACGTGACTAATAAACACACGATTACGGCAATATACGGTTTATCAGAGTTCTTCTTCTTATAATTTTCATTAAAATAAAGTATATTTATAATGCAATGCCTTTGCTTAAATACTATGAAATAGGTTGCATGCCTTATTCTGTGTAAGAAGCCACATCATCTCACAGAAGGATTTATTTCAAACACTCGACTGACGTTATGAGTTTGGAGTAAAAATGTTATTAAATGTGGTATTTTCACATGCTTTCAGATGGAGCAGCATTTACTTCACAGAGTCGTAGTTCACTAAGAAGCTATGCAAACAGCTGTCATTATCGCAAACGATTTCTTCGATTTCAGAATTGCACAATAAAATCGTCTGCGATTTGTTTTTGTTTTTTTCGTAACTTGTCAGTGAACTACGGCTATGTGTAGTAAATGCTGCTCTATCTGAAAGCACGTGATGATGATTTCCTGCTGATTACAGAACCGGCATTACTATCAAAATGCTTATGACAATCGCATTCGATTAATCGTGCAGCCTTACTGAAATATAAGACTTATGTAATGTTAGTTATTTACATATTAATAAAAGTTAGTATAAAGTGTCATAGTTTTTTTTCCTGTTAACTGAACTTTTGCTTTCAAACAGCTCATTTGGTAAGTCATTCCGTGCCGTCTCTGGGATTTCCTGTACAAACTTCAGTTGCCTCATACTCTTTTCCTCCAGTTCTATTTAATTTCTCTTGTTATTCTTTGTCTGCTGTATGAGATGAATCAGATATTAGGTTGTAATAGCTTTCATCTGGTCTCTTAAGCTTTTGCAGTTGCTAACCTCTGCCTCTCAATCAGTGTATGTGATTGTGGTGTTTTAATGGTAGAAGACATTAGAATGGGCCTTCAAATATAACTGATTTTGGAAACCAAATCTACTCACTGCCTTAATTATTCCTTGATTAATGTGGAGTTGTGTTGTGTAGCTTGGGTGTGTGTGCGCATGACCAACTCTGTATAGTTTCCATGCTAATTCTTGTTTTTCTGTCGTGAAAGTGAGGATTTCTTTAGTTGTTGTGAAGGTGCTTGAGTTCCAAAGCCTGGCCACTTCTCTTCTGTTAAGTGTCCTGGGACCGGTTGTTCAAAAACATTTTTTGTTTTAGTCCTAATAAATTTTTATATACAGTATGTGTGTATATATATATATATATATATATATGCAGAGAGCTGAATGCAGACCAGCCGTCAGTGAAAACTACATGAAGCTAAAGAAGTATGTTCAGATGTGCACACACTAGCTCTGTTCCAAAAATGTTGTGTAATGCCTACACCGAAAGCATTATAAATTCTCATAGAAACTCATAAAGGATTAATTTATGGGCCAAAAGCTCTATATGTGCAGCAACTCTGTGTGCCACACAAACATCCTGAACTCGCAACACTAGCTAGTGAGCACTAACCTAACTCTAAACCTTAAATGAAAACTTTTTTTGCATTTTTAAAAAGAGAAAGAAAATAGATTTTTTTTAGGTCTATACAGGTCCACACACAATCTATTTCAAGACCTGTGATGTCTGATACATAAACTTCATTATGCTTATGGCCAGAACTCATAAAGGATGTTGTGTTATTTTGCAGACTGCAGATCGAGGAGTTATCTAAACCCATGAGGTTCTCTCAACAGCTTGACAAAGCAGTTACCACCAACTACAAACCGGTGGCTAATCACGCCTATAATGTAGGTCAAGCTTTTGCATCGTCCAACAGATGTCTGAAGTATCTGATATGCAGTTGATTGTTGATGCACACTCCGTTTGTTCCTTTTTTTTTCTCCTTAGCTGTACTATGAAAAGAAGAAGAAAGAAGAAGGGAAGAGGGCACGAGCAGATAAGCAGCAGGTGCTGGACATGTTGTTCTCTGCTTTTGAGAAGCATCAGTATTATAACATTAAGGATCTGGTGGACATCACAAAACAGCCTGTGGTGAGTTAAATTACAGTAACACTACGTAACACACATAGACTACTGTTCAGAAGTTTGGGGTTGGCCATTGTATTTTATTGATTATTTTTTAATGTTTGAAAGAAGAAATATTATAACTAATTAATTAACTGTTTTCTGTTTGAATCTATTGTAAAATGTGCAATTTATTAAAAAAGGGATTCCTATGATGGCAAAGCCATTACTCCAGTCTCCAGTGTCGCATGATCCTTCAGAAATCATTCTAATATGCTGATTTGCTGATTAATATTTCTTAATATTATCAATGATGAAAATAGTTGTGCTGCTTAATCTTTTTTGCATAAATTGTGAGAACCATGTTACATTTTTTTTCAGGATTTATTAATAAAAAGTTCAATAAAAAAAATAATTGGAAATAGAAATATTCTGTAACAATGTAAAAGTATTTACTGTCATTTTTGATCAAAATACATGCTTGACGAACCGTAGTGTTCACTACAAGTCTTCCTTTCTTATTCTCTAGATTTATTTGAAGGAGATTCTTCGAGACATTGGAATATACAATGTCAAAGGCACCCACAAGAACACCTGGGAACTCAAACCAGAGTACCGACACTACCAGAACGAAGAAAAGAGCGACTGATCATTTTCAAAGCTTGTTACCATTGAGTGGCTATGAAAACCGGAAAAGCCAACTTCCCCAATAAGTTCAAAATGTTGTTTCTGAATAATTTCTTCAAGGATGATTTAGTTGTTTTTAGAGGTGCATCAGAAAACTATGTGGCATTTTATAATGCTAAGCAGTTTTTTTTATGCTCGTTATATTGAGTGATTCCCATGAAAAAAAAAAAAAAAAAACTAGTAAGAGTTGTTCAAATCTTCCGTCATCTGAAAATGAAAAGAACTTATCTTCTCATCTTAATGTTGTGTATAAAGGGATGATGTTGGATCTTTTCTTATTTAAAGAAACATTGATAGAATAATGGTAAACAGTTGTTTTATTCAGATTTAGTTTTCTGATTGAAACACTTATTTTAGATGGTATTTTGTGTTCTTAAATGCTCTTGAAATAAAGTTTTTTTTTTGTTGTACAAAAAATGTATAATTTCCATGTTTCTGCACACGATGTGAAACTTTTTAGTTTTTTACAATTCACTCAGCAGGACTGGGGTTAAATATTTAAATAAAATATATTTAAATAGTTAAGTTCAAATAAACGATTTAATATCAGATACATTTGATTTGTTAAATAAGTGTGACCATTATGAAAGCAAAATTTATGGTTATGAAAAAAAAGGAGAAACTCAAAGCAGCTCATTATCAAAAACGGGGTCATTGTTTAGCACCAGAACCAATGATATTGTGCACCCGCAAATCTATCTCTTAGAAAATTCTGTAGGTAGCTGGGTCGGTTACAAATGGTACCAACAAACTGGATAAGCATTAAAAGTGTATATGTGTGGGACGTCTGCAGGACATTAAAGATCAGCCTGAATAATTGCAAGGCTCAATAGGGGTGAAGCAGCTTAACACTACACAGCATCGTTATGCATTTGGCATTCTCCATTCTTGGTTCCCAAACTGGGGTGCGCGAGAGAATGCTTTTAATGATCTTTGTGCTTTTTTTGAAGGGGCAAGTGAAAGAGAATTTGACTTGCCCGACCGGACAACTAATCTAATCTTATTAAAACGTCGAATTAGAGAAGCAGCAAAATTTCGGCGAGAATGATTCAGATTTTATTACACTTGGTGTAAACGGCTATTCAATTCATGGATAATCAATAGTAACAAGGTCGAGGCAGTTGAGACTCACGTGAGACAATCTCATAGCTTCAACACAACTGCACACAGAAGAAACATACTACGGTAAAAAAAATGTAGTTTGTATATTTATTACATAAAGCCTAGCCTAATTAATTAACATGACACGACTAAGAGAGTGCAGTTTTCCCTGAAAATCAGTACGATTGTAAGTTCGACATTGATTTTAAACAAGACTTCAAACGAGTAGTTAATATTAAGTGACTTGGGGCATATATTTTAGTACAATAATGTCAATGTGACTGTTTTTGCTGGATTTGTTTAACGAAAATAGTTCCAAACAAACTTAGCAGAACTGTCTCGCATCTCTGAGCAACTCACAGCGTCAGCGGTGTTTCTTTAGGCTACTGAATGATTCATTTTTGAATTAATAATTTGAGTCAATGATTCAGTGGTCCATTCATAAAGACAGGCGCTTGGGTCATTCTTGAATGAATCAGCCGTTTGAACGCCTCAATGACTCACTCATTAAGACAGTCAACTTGCTGCCACCTGCTGGCGGGTTACTTTCACATTTAAAAGTAACTTTCTTTTTTTTTTTTTTTACAACTTTTCATATTTGTAAATAAAAAAACCTGATGTAAAACACCAAGCTCACAGCATTATTTATGCTGTTGTAATTTTGCAGTGTTAATGCTACATTTCAGCTTCATTAAATTGTCTGTGTAAATGCATCTAAATGCCACTTCAGCTGCTTC